CGAACATTTTCAATCTCAGGAGCTTCACATAGCGTTTTAAGAGATTCTCAGAGCAAACGCACAGATTCTCCTCCCAACTGCACAGATTCTCGGACACAGAGAAATGGCAAAGAGCACAGACTCTCCTCCCAACTGCAAGAAATACGGAGTTCCTATCTACGGAACTTCGTGGGTCCCACCGAACGCACTCAGATCTGCCCCCAACCCTACAACCGCCAACGGCGATGATGAACCCTCCGTCGAGCCATCCCCGCCGTCGATCGCCCCTCAAAACTACCTCGTCTTTGCCGGAGGCGGTGGCGAAGGCCGTAGCGGCATCCCCAACGCTCTCCTCCTCTCCCACTTTGATTCCGCCTCTAATTCCCTCTCCGATCACCCTGTGAGCCCCCCAAATTACTCTTTTCATGATTTATGTATAAATGGATTTTTTTAATAGAGATTTTTGACTTGAATATTGGTACATATTCAACTACTCAACTTGATTACCTTCATTTACGCTGTGTTGGGTTTGATTAGGGGATTTGGAAAGGATTTGAAAAGGGAAAGATAAATTCTGTGTGAAATTAGGTGAAATAGAGTATATTCTATTTAAATTTCACTTACCTTTTCCCGTTTTCAAATGCCTTCCCAAATCTCCCAGAGATCAAAATAGTGAAATGTTTTTAATAATGCGTATTACACCAAGAATTGACATGGGGGTGATTTTTCTAGTGCCAAAAAACATGTAGTTTTCTACATTTTGTGCTTGAATATTTGCATTACAAACATCAATGCTATGTGCGTCAAGATTTATTTTCGTCTATATTTAGTTTTTAAATTAATTATACTTTTGGTACATGAGATGGTGGTGTTACATATCCGATAACATTAACATTCTGTTTGGATTGAGGGATTTGGTAGAAAAGAAAGGGAGAGAACGAGATTTCTTATCACTTGTTTGGAATGATTAAAGATGTGGGAAATGGTAAGAAAGAAGATAAATGATGAGAAAGAAAAATCCTTCATAACTTTTTTGTTTCTCACCAAAAGTGGTGAGATTTTGTGAGAAACCAAAATTACTCTTTACAACAACAATTACAATACAAGGAAAATTAACCAAAGTGGTCTATAGACCCTCCTACTGATTCATCATGGACTACAAGGAAAATTTTCAAGCTCAGAGAGATTGGACAGCCATTTATTAAGCACAAAATAGGTAATGGAAGATCTACTATTTTATGGCTTGACAATTGGCATCCTATAGGCTGTCTCTATCAACAGTTTGGGGATAGCATTGTACAAAACATTGGCAGAGCTCTGGATGCTAAGGTTGCTGAAATAGTGAATGTTGATGGATGGTAATGGGCTAGAATGAGGAATAGAGCTGTTCAACAAGTTATGACCTTAACTCCTCAAATCTTTTGCCTAATCTAACAAGAAATGATGAGATTGTATGACTGCCTTCAATTAGTGGTACCTATTCCTATAAGTCTGCTTGAGAGGCCCTTAGATCAGTGAAGGTGGAAGTTGCTTGGTGTCATATAGTTTGGTTTACAGGGTATGTTCCTAAATGGGCATTTATCCATTGGCTTATCTGCTGGTAGAAGTTAGCAACTAAAGATAGACTATTAAAATGGGGCATGCAGGTTGATCCTAAATGCAGTCTATGTAGTATTGTGGATGAGAGCCATGAACATCTTTTCTTCTAATTTCTAATGTACCAAAAAAAATATTTATATATATTTTTTTCTTCCTCTGTCCCTTTTTCAAACAACTTTGGAGTAAAATGCTTCGAGTGAGTCGTATTAATATAGATCCTATGGGCTGGTCGGGGGAGCTTCAATGGGCTATCTCTCAAGGAAATAGTAGGAATTTGAGTACTGTCATAACCAAACTTTCTCTAGCTTGTTCTCAGACATGGTTAGAAAGGAAAAACAGAGTCTTCAAGCTGAAAGCTAGACACCAGGATCTAATTCTGCATGAAATAATGAGGGATATACGAACTAGGGCCTATTCTCTAAAGGAGATTAAAAGTAATATGCAGAATTGGGAAGTTTTTATGGATTCTGATTCTGCATGAAATAATGAGGGATATACGAGCCAGAACCTATTCTCTAAAGGGGATTAAAAGTAATATGCAGAATTGGCAAGTCTGTATGGGGGGGGGGATCCCTTCCTCTATCCTGCAAAGCTAAAATAATCTTTGTTTTTGTTTTTTTCCTTGTTGGTTTTGTTTTAGTTTTCTATGTTCATGTCTTGTAAGGTTTTCTTAATTTGTTTTTTTCTCTTTTTTGTTTTGCTTTGTTAACGGCTTGTAAGTTGTAGCCTGCGCTGTTCATTTTTTTGTTTTTGAGGGGTATGTCTCTGTAGCAGTTTGTTTTTGCAGCTTCGCTAGTGAAATAAAATCATAATTTACCATAAATAAATAAATTATAATACCTAAATTATCCCTCTAAATACAAATAAAATAAAATAAAATAAAAAAACCGTAGTGTCCTTTTTTATTCGTTGTTCATCCAAACAAGAATGTGAGAAATTACAATCATTTCTTTTCTCTTCTCACCTAAGAAACTACAATCATTTCATTTCTTTATCCAAATAGAGTGTAAATATTTCAATGTTGTATATTTTTTAAAACTTTTTACAAATCATGTGTGTCCAACTACTAGTATATATATACATATGGTGCCTATATGGATTTGTTGGGTCATTGCGGGAATTTCTATGTGTTTTGGCTAAAATAATCTATTCACAGTGAATAAATCTGATTAAATCATTTATTTCTCCAGTTATTTATATTAGTGTTTAATTTCAAACCTTTTGTTGGCTTTTTAGCATGAGAGTCTTAATAGGAATTATGTACTATGGCATTGGTTTTGTTTCAGCTAATATGAGCCTTTCTTTTTCTAATTCTATTATTAGTATTAGTATTAGTATCAGTATTAGGGAATGCATAGAATAATGAACGTGTTACTAGCAATTTTGATGGGCATCTGTGATAGGATCTTGTATTCCAATTCAGCATTCTTGATCAAAGTACCCTTAGCTAGCATTTGGATTTTAATTTTAAAAGAAGAGGTTGTAAAAAGTCCACCCCTTACCATGATACAATTGGACTTGATAAACAAAAGTTGGCTTGGATTTATAGGCATCATTTGGCTACAATTTTTAAGGATTTTTATTTTCTTCAAGCAAAATTTGCTTTCATTCTTTGCAAGTTTTCTCCAAGAACTTAAAGAGTAATTTTTGAAGCACCCAGTGCTACCAAAAGAAAAAAATTGTCATGATTTTTATTTTTATTTTTATTTTTTGAAAGTACAGGAAATGGAAAAATGTCAGTCAAAGCAACTATAACCACCTCTAGAACCCTTGCTGTGGCAGCTGCAGAAGATTTTTCTCCATCCATGCTCTTATTTTTAAGTAGAATGTAATTTTATTTAAAGAAAAAGCATTTTGCTTACTTGAATTTTGACTTTTGCTTCAACTAGCAAAATACAGATATATCCTTGATTGCGTAGTAAAGAAACTCTATACACCATTTGGTTCTTTATTTAGGAGAAGAAGAAAAAATAGAATGAGGAGGTGAGGAGAAGAGAAGAGAAGAGAGGATTATAAAACTTTCATAAGTTTGATTCCAAAGAAGAAGATGCAAAGAGAAAGGGATGGAAGTAAAAGGATGGGGCTCTCCCTTGATTCTAAAATGTTCTATATGACTGTTTCTCCAAATCATATCATTTCTCTCAAGTACTTGGAACCACTTTACTTCTCCATTTTCAAGTTGTGGAATATGAAAGGATTTTAAATAGTCATCTTCTTTTCTCTTCTCTTCCCCCCAGGGGCCCCAACTAAACAGTGTGTTAAGAAAGCCCAACCGAATGTGCCCATGTAGTATTACTTAAGCTGCCTACACGTGGTCTTTCTTTCAAGGATTCTTTAAATGTACTCATATACCATTCCACAGAGTTACAACTGTGTGTAAAATACTTTATATTCTATGATATGAGATTTGTTGCAGTGTTCGCATGATTTAAATTCTAAAATTTTAGCCTTTTATTGACAAGATTTATGTCTTCATTAATCTTTTATTTTAGGTAGCAAAGCTTGGAACTGGTCCTGATTTGCCTTACAGAATGGCTGTCCATCCTGGAGGAGACTGTATTATTTGTTCTTTTCCTAAAAGTTGCAGGTACATCTCTCTTTCTCCCTCTCTCAGTGACAAGGAACCTTGCAATTCAAAACATTGCAAATTTTTTTTGAGGTTAATGAAGTCACATAAGTTAACTTAAGATGTTTATACATAGAACGTAACAATGGGCTTGATATTCTTTCTTTGGGATTCCAAAAGATGCATGGTAAATTCTTATTTGTTTGATATTCTTCCTACATCGTCTTGGTTACATTGAAAATTCAAATGAGTGCAAGTAGGGATAACAAGGTTCTAATACATACCTTGGTTACATTGAAATTTGAAATTCAAATATGAACAAGAGTATACATGTACCAAGGGTCAGCCTTAAAGTCCTTATTTGCCTTAATTATGGATGAGTTAACTTGGCACATTCAAGATGAAGTACTGTGGTGTAATGTTGTTCGTAGATGATATGTTTTAGTCTATGTTACATGGATTTTTCTCTTTCCGGTAAGGGTGTAGGATATGTGTTTGATATGTTACTGTTGGGAGACACATGTCGGACACACCACTTGGCGTGTCTGTTTTATTTTTTCTTGTTGGACATATTAGGGACACATGGTAGATCAACAATGCAAACGATATACATACTGAGAAGATTAATAGAAAAGTACAAAGAGCAAAAAAAAAATCTTCATATACAATGCAAACGATATACATACTGAGAAGATTAATAGAAAAGTACAAAGAGCAAAAAAAAAATCTTCATATGATTTTTATAGATTAATAAATAAAAAAAATTTATGATAGAGTACCTAGACATATAATACGATGCTTATTGGCCCAAAAAAAAAAAAAAAAAGTGATAAGAGTGTATTGATGCAATAAAGGACATGTGTGATGGTATTGTGGCTACAATTAGGTCATTTGTAAGAGAAACATGTAAATTTCCAATTATTATAGGATTACATCAAGAATCAACCTTGAGTCCTTACTTATTTGCCTTAGTTATGGATGAGCAGATGTATCATGGTGTAAGTTATTCGTAGATAATATTGTTTTAGTCTGATAATGTGATGATGTCACTATTCCTATGATGATGTTTTCCTACTCCTAGGTTTACACTCGCTCCTAAGTCTAAGAGTGCTCGTTCTATAGGATGATGATTTCCTACAACACACGAGCTAATGGGAGCACAAGGATCCTTGAACTTTGGAGGAGTGTTGTGCTGAAGAATTGAACTCACATGCTTAGTGAAAAGGACCTTCTTGGACACATGTCCATGACTTATGCTTGTGAGTACAAATGTCCTTAAGATATTTGAAATAAGCCGGAACTTGCTTAATGGCATCAAGGAGGGGAAGGTTGATGTTGACTTGTTTGAATACTTCCATCAAATCTTCCATTTTTTCCTTTTCTTACCAAGGGAGAAGGTGTATCAAGACAAGTTAGGGATGATGCTTTTGGCATATATGGTATTCTATGAAGCATGGGTACTTCGAAAAACATGTTGTATCCGTACCGGATACTTACCGGTGTATCATACCTCGTATGGTACTTCTGCATATGTACCCGGGTACACGAAACACGTACCCAAATTTTTTCTTCTTAATTTTTGACGTGCCCAGACGTACCTAGTATATATTCAAGCCGTACTGTACCTCAATTGAAACAATATTTTCCTTCTACTACAGAGATAAAACTCATTTCACTAGATTTCTTTTTTAGTTTTTGTTTTAATTTTAGCATAATTTTAAAATTAAACTATGGTTTGTAAGTTATTTAATATATTTACATTTAATTTTGATTTATACTTTTCCTTTTGGCATTAAATGTTAATTATAGGTTGGACCTTAACAAATTAAACCATTTAATTAAGTTTTGCATTACTCTAAATTAAAAATAAATATTTTTTTACAAGCGTACCAAGCTGTACTCGTACCCTATTTTTTTATAATTTTACTGTATCGACGTACCCAGATCGTACCAGTACCCGTATTCGTACCCGTATCCGTGCTTCATAGACGGTATTGTTTGAACAAAACTTGGTGAAGTAGTAGAGGGAATGTGGTCCCCCCTTTGATACACTTGTTTCCTCAACTCTAGTACCTTTGAGATTGTCAACTGTCTCACTTTCACTACCATTTTCATTGCCAAGCCTAGCGTCTATCACTCGTCCATTCTTTAGGGTCGTGATAGCTTTTGTTTGCTCATGATATATATCATTTTCGTGCGAACTCTCAACAACGTATTGACTTTTTGGATTGTTCATTGGCTTGGTAGTTTTCATTTCTCTCTCCTACCAAGAGCATTAGCTAGTTGTCCCACTTGGGCTTCTAGCTTGGCAATGGATTGAGTGTAGGAGTGCGACAATTGCGTGTTGGATTCTAGACCTTGAAGAGCTATCAACACTTTATCCTAAAACACATAATGCCTTTGAGATGGAGGAGGATTAGAGTGTTGGAATTATTGTTGCGGTGGAGTAGGGCCATAAGCCGGTGGATTGGGAAAATTTTAGTTCTTGGTGTTGAGCAAAAGAGTTGCCCAGAACTTGTTGCGTCCACGAAATTGGGGTGGTTCCTCCAACTTGGGTTATAGGTATTAGAAAAATGATTATTTACTGGTTTAGGGAACTCCTGGATAGCATTCACTTGCTCTTGGAGAAATTCTAGAAATTGAGTGGCCATAAAACATTCACTCATCAAGTGAGTAGGACTACACACCTCTTTAGAGTTTGGAATTTGGGTTGAACTGTGTCTCATTGTGAGAAATCGATCAACCTTTCTAGACAAAACGTCTACCCTTTCAGAGACGCCCACAAATTGTCTAACCGCTTTGGAGCACTTGAGGAAGCAGGTGACACAGAACGACTGACAGATGCACGGTGAATGGAATTTTCACTTAAAACTTCAAATAACTTCCATGCCTCATCTTCATTTTTACTTAAGAAAGTTCCACCACAAGAGGCATTGTCCATTTGCCAAAATTGATCAGGCAAACCATCTCAAAAACATTAGACCAATTCCCACTTCTACACTGCGTGATGGGGACACTTGTGAAGAAAATCCCCAGACCTTTCCCAAGTTCCATGAAATTCCTCACCATTAATTTGACCAATACAAATAATGGCGGCATTTGGTTGGTTTTGCCAATGGGAAAGTATGTTTTTAGAAATTCCTATTGAAATTCGACCCATGAGGTTATAGAATCGGATGCCAAGGAATTGAGCAATAATTGGCTCTATCCTTAAGAAAAAAAGGAAACAATTGCAACCTAAGGGCATTGTCTGTAAAATTCTGCAACTTGACCATGGTACAAATTTCTAGGAACTCATCTAGGTCTATAGATATTCATTATTAAGTCCATAAAAAGATGGAAGCATTTGGATAATGTTGGATTAATCTCATATTGTCTAGCTGTCACAACATATAGGCAGATACATGAAGAGTTAGTGCACGTGGAAGGAGTGAAGTATGATTCTAATTGCTTGGGTGGATTGTCCAGTCCTTTTTGAGTTTGGGAGTATTCTAAGACTTTTAGGAGTACGAGAAGATGCCCTAAGAAGCCCAAGACAACGCTCTAGCCCATGTTCATAAATAATTTAACTCTGGAAGACAAGAATGATGCCGAAACATAAACCAAGCATACTTGGACATTGCCATGATTTCAGAAAGAAATTGATAGAAATGTTTGGACATTGGCATTATTTCAAAGAGAAATTGATAGAAATCTTATATAATTATGTTTCTAGTTTTATTAGAGTTTTATTTTATGATTATTTTTATAATTTTTATGATTTTTAGGTCAGGGATATTTTGGTAATTTTTACATTTACTAACATTGGTTGTAGGGGTCGCCCATGGGTTATCATGTCGGTCAAGTTCTTTAATTGATTTTTATTTATGGCTTTCGAAGTCAAAATAGTTTTAGTAGTTTCCTTTTTCGGTTCTAGATAGTTTAGAAAGTCTCCTAGTTCTATGTAAAGCCTTATAATGCTTATAATTGAATAGAGTTGATATTTTATAGAATTTTTAAAACTTTGAAACCTATTTTGGGTTTCGTGTGATGCAACCCTGACCCTAGGTGTGATGCCTAAGGGATTCTAATAGTGATTCTTAGACCTATCTTCATCTATTTCTTTTGTTTCTTAAATTTCAGCGCTTTCTCAGCCCCAAAACAGCCCTTGCAGTGCTGTCCTACATCAGTATAGGTGTCATACCATAGATCTAGGAGTGATTCCTAGACTTATCTTCCTTTTCTTCCTATCTTTCTTAAATTTCAGTTCTTTCTCAGCCTAGAACAGCCCTTGCAGCGTTGTCATCAGTTTGGTATCAGAGCGTAAGGTTTCCCCATGATGTTTTCACATTGTGGGAGATCTTATGGGTGTGTTTGGTTTGTGTTTTGAGATAAATTTTCAAACAAAAATTTGGAGAGAGTTTAAAATTTTTTTTGGTTTGTTTGGTTGTGCTGGAATGTCCCACATCGCCTGGAGTTGCCTCATCTGTGCTAGTTATAAGGTTTCAATTTTCCTCTCCTTAATATCTGGGTTTTAAGGAGAATTGTGGGTTGGGTTTTTCAATTTGGTATCAGAGGTTGATTGGGCTTGTGATTGGTGTGCCGTTTGTCCGGCTAGTGTATGTTGTAGTCCAGGAGAGTGTGTTGGAATGTGTCCCACATTGCTTGGAATTGCCCCATCTGTACTGGTTATAAGGCTCTAGTTTCCATCTCCTTAATACCTGGGTTTTAAGGAGAGGGAAACTGGAGCCTTATACCTAGGCTTTTCAATTGGTTGTATATTTTGAAAATAGTTTTGGAGGTTAGAAGTTTGGGATGATTTGATATTTTGTTGTAGTTGAGTAGATGTGTGTGAGAGAAAAAGTAATTGAGGAGGAGAGAGGAGAGAAAAAAAGTAATTGATTGATGTATAAGAAAGAGAGAGTTTTGGAATTTTTTTTTTCAAAAATTTTGAATGAAACAAAATTTTTAAAAAATTTTCTCGAAAATTGTATCTTGAGATACAAACCAAGCAAGTACTATATAAGTAGATTGACTTGGGAAGAGGGTAAAACACTTCTTAGAGAAGAAATTCATCTAAGAGATCTTCAACATGATTTTCTTGATCAATTGTATGCTCTTGAGCAATGTGATATGCGTTTGATTAATTATGCAATCAAAATACAAGGAATTTTTTTTATTTTTTATGATCAAATCTAGAGTGATAGAAAGTGGACGGATGATTGTTGCTCATTTCAAAAGTGGGTTGAGATTTGGAATAAAAGAAGAGATGTCTCATGCATATTTAGAAGATTTTGAAGATGCTATTGAAACGACTATAAGATTTGAGTTTTTTGTAAAATTTAAGGAGAAATCTATAGTTTTGAAGCCTCCTATAACGGGAGGATTGCTGCAACAACCACAAAATTGTGTGAGACGTGCATCACAAGTAGTACCGAAACCAAAGAATGTTGTCAAAGATGCGCAACTGAAATTACAAGCAAAAGAAAACAGTCAGATCTTGTCCCAAACAAAAGAAGACCAGATTATTAAGGATAAAAAGGTTCCCATTCATGGAGTAGAAGTGCTACAAGTGAATTCCCAAATTGTTCAAGAAGAGACCAGAGATCAAATTGAAGATTTGGATACCATACAAGCTGTAGAGGCTGAAAAATTAAAGCAACCAAAGGCTGATTCTGAGCAAAATATGTCTTTCAAGGTCACCAACGTGTTACCTGAATTTTTTATGTGGTTCCAAGTGGATTGCAAAATTGAATTGCATAACGACATTTTGGTTGAGAAAAAGGTTGAGAATATGGAATCGATGATTGTTGATACAAGCAAGAGCATTCAAATTGATTGCAAGCAGTATCATTGCAAAGCTAAAAGAGAATGGAATGGATTAGCAGATTTTGCAAATTGTTCATCTTTTACTTCAATTGATTTTGACATTCCAAAAAAATTCAACTTTAGAGTTGAAAACATCTTGTTGCTTCAATTACTACCTCCACTGAAGGAGAAATGATACTGCCAACTTGATATTTTAATGTGAACTCATGGATTCAATATCAAAACTTGTAGATTCTTATGCCTTAACACTTTAAAACTTGAAGTTGAATTTAATAGGAATCTTATATAATTATGTTTCTAGTATTATTAGTCTTATTTTATGATTATTTATTTATTTATTTTTTATAGAATTTTTAGGATAGGGTTATTTTGATAATTTTTATATTTGCTGACATGGGTTGTAAGAATCACCCATGAGTTGTCTTGTGGGTCAAGTTTTTTAATTGATTTTTATTTTTGTTTCTTATGTGGTCTTAAATTGGCTTTGGAAATCATAGTTTTTTTATTTTTATTTTTTTGTTCTAGTTGGTTTAGGAAGTCTCTTAATTCTATATAAAGCCATGTAATACTAATAATTGAATAGAGTTGATATATTGTAGAATTTTTAGAGCTTTGAAGCCTCTTTTGGGTTTGTGTGATGCAACCCTAACCCTAGGTGTGATGCCCAAGAGATTCTAGGAGTGATTCCTAGACATATCTTCCTCTGTTTCCTTTCTTTCTTAAATTTTAGTGCTTTCTCAGCCCCAAAAAAGCCCTTATTGTGCTGTCCTACATCAGTATGGGTGTCGTACTACAGGGATTGTATTGACTAAAGTGCCTAAAATAAAAAATTGTTGTTACTTGTTCAAAAAAAAATTGACGATGTAAATTTCGTGAAATTGACTAGTAGGTAAAAAAGAATGATGGAGTTCAGTTGAGAAAAAATACTTAGGGTGATCGAATCCACTGCTACTCACATAAAATGAGGCAATTGTAACCATTCTTGAGAAATTATTTAGTCAGATAATTGTAATCCATTATAACTATCTGTTTGGTTTTGAATTTTCAAAAATAATTTTTGAGTTTTGAATCTGTAATTTTTATTTTTAGTGAATTTTTTTTTTAATATTTTGGTCAATTTAGTATTATTATTTTTTAGGTCCATCTAATCTAGATGTACTAAAAAAGTAAAAAAAAAATAAAAAATTGTGAAGAAATCTCTTAAAAATTCAATAAATACAAAAAAAAAAAAAAACGAAAATGTATTAAATTTTTTTTTTCTTTTTTCTTTTTTGAATTTGTTATAGTATTTAGTGAATTTTGTAATTTTTTCATAAAATTTATTATTTTTAAGTGTATTTAGATTAAGTGGATCTAAAAAGTAAAAAACATTGTAATATTTAAAAAATTCACTAAAAACAAAAAAATACGGATTGAAAACTAACTATTTTTGAAAACTTCAAAACCAAACATTATGATTGTCTAAAAATTCATATACTGAAACTTTAGGCGTAGACCATTTTTAGTTAGTACGAAACGTCTTACGCTAAAACTAAAACTACTACCGTAGGAATGATCCATCTTCTCTGGGTATGATTTATCTTAGGATCCCAATATATGCACATAAAATTATTGCATCGGAAATCAAACACAAGTGAGATAAAACAGTGATGAATGCACAAAAAGCTTTAAATGTTATACAATTATTATCCAAACTTTACACCCAAAGAATTAATTACAAAACCTCAAGTGTTCCTTGAGTGAGGCTTCATCTAAGCCCTAAGAATGAGAAGTTACATGATTGTGGAAATTTCCATAACTCTCTTAGAAGAGAGCTTAGAAGAAAACTTTCTCTTCACTTGATTTTCTACAACTCTCCTCCTTTTTGATCAACCCAACCTCTCTATCTATAGACGAAATACATGTACAAAGTTTTTCCTCTCCAAATATTTAGGGATATGGTCATAAATACAACATGGTTTAAATGGAAGATTTGAGAAGTCAAATATTGTGGCTAATTGTTGAACACATGAGTTGTCTGATCTTTTATTCATATATGACTCCATGCTACAAATTTTGACATGAGGTTAGTTCCATCTGAAACTAGACTTCTAGGGCTTCAATGTAGACACAAAATTTGCATTGTTTGGACTTGAAATGATTGAAATATGATTTTCAAAGTTGATGCATGTAATCTGTCTTGAATGCAGATTTTCAGATTCTTTGCCCTGAATGTTCTCCCATTCTGACCCCCAATATGGCTGAATTGGAAAATTGTTGTTATACAATGATTTGTAAGCCTTTAAGTTATTTCCATGCCGCTTGAATCAACTCAGTCTGATATCGTATGGAGATATACTTAAAATACCAACTGCTGCAGAGAGAAACTTCCAACTGAAAAATTCAAAATTTTGTTCTTAAATTTGATTGTATAATTCTTTCTTCCAGAAGTCCATGTAAGCCTTTCAAAAAATCATCCTACTCATGTCATTTGAGTATAAAGACTTGGAAAACCTACAAATGTATGAAACAACACAAAGCTATCAAATAACGCAGAATTATGGACTCATGTAGTGTATTTTGGGGGGGCCTAACTGTGTAACATTTTGGCACTTAGCAGAATGTTGGGCGACTAAGAAAGAACACAAAAAACGAGTGTAGCTAAGATGAGGATGTTGAGGCGGATGTGTAGGGTAAGACCAGAAAGATAGAATTAGAAATGAATTCATTTTTGAAATGGTAAGACTTTGGAGCAGTACCAATTGAAATAAGCTAGCGTGATTAGTCTAAAATGGTTTGGTCATACACAATGAAGATTGATAGAGGCAACGGTGACAAAGTGCAATAGGATCTCGATTGAAGGAAATGGTAAGGGGAGGGGAGAAACCTAGATTGACATTAGGTAATGTAGTAAAGACGGATATGAATTTACTTAATTTAACTGAGTGTGTGACCCTTGATAGAACATAATAGAGAAAAATATTCAAATAGCTGACCTCAATTGCTTGAGACACAACGCAAGGCTTGGTTTGTACGCATCATAGTCACTCATGTCCTAGCTCCGAACACGCCCTAGGACACGTTTGACCTGTGGTATTTAATTTTTTGTGAATAATCTATTCGCTGTTAAATTAAATTAAATGCTTGACATTTGTGATATAATGGTTTATGATTGACAAAATTGTATGTTGTGTATTGAATTATGTTTGACTTAGATTGAGTGGTTTTCTCATGTTAAATTAGTTTGTTTTTTATTATATTTAGTTGTTTGTTGCTATAATACTCATAAAAATAGAACATAAAAATATATAAATAATATATTTTAGACGTATCCCCACACCATGTCTGGATACTTATCTGTGCTTCTTAGCTTAGAGTTGATGATATGCAATGAAGAAAATACAAATGTCAATGCTTGTAAGTTGAAATAATACATAATTCAAACCATACTTTGTAGATGAAAACCTATTCTGATTTTCAAATTATTCTTTCAAATTGTGATCTTAGTAATGAGTTTATTTTTTCTTGGGTTTTTTTTTTTTTTAAGACTGTTTGAATGGGATGGAGTAAAGAGCACTGAAGTTCACAAACTGGGACTGAAACTGTCTGACAAAGACCTGAACCAACTGGAAGATGTTGGACAACAGTTAGCATTGACTTTTAATAATGAGGGCTCTGTACTTGCTCTTGGAGGCGAGGTTGAGTTTATCTTTCATTCTGCTGTTTTTTTAAAGCCCATGCTGCATGCTGCTGTTTGGTGCAGCATATGGAGCTGCTTATAGCTTTTCTTTTATTAAATATTTGCCAAAATGTTTGCTGGAGCTTCTGCTAGCTTATTAGGCAAAAATAGCAGAAATAAGCTGAATAAAAGCTGATTATTGAAAAGAAAAGGGAAGTGTGTTTTGCTTCTGTTTTCTGATTATAAGCTTTCAGCTTGCTAGAGGCTGCACCATACAGGATCATTATATTCTTGTCATCATGTTTGGTTTTTGTATAAGCAAGATGGTCATCCTACATTTTATTGTTTGAGGCTCATGCTAGATGGAAGTTGAGGGAAAAGTTCTTGGATTATCTGATGTTAAAGTATTCTCATTTTCTTAAATTGGAATTTTGCTGCCTTCTTGTTAGGGCTAGACACAAATTGTAGCATGGGATAAATATTATGTTACAATATTAACAAAGAAAAAAAACACTAGAGTTGTAAACAAAGTTTCGTTTGATTATGGTCACATATGGCCTTCTGGACTCTTCCTTGTATTGATGAATCTTTTTAAACATATGCTTTTGCTACAGAATTACAATTACAGATTCTGCACTTCATACTGTGAACCTTATATGGGATTTAGTCGTTTCGAACAAACATGATATTATGGAAGAATCTAATTGGACTTGAAATATGTCCAAGTTATTAATGAATTGCTCAATTTGAAAAATAGTTTATAATGCTCGGGAAAAGCTGAAAATGCATTCCTCTGTAAAAATTTAACGTAAAAAGAGTTTTTACATTCATTACAGTCGTGCTTAATTTTTTGAACATTTAAAGAACATCTCTCTTCTAATTATTCGTTGCACATGAACATAAACATGCCCTGGCAGAGAGGTAAGCTTTTAGACACCTTTTACATGCTGTAGACGTTTAACTTCCATGGATAAATATTTCCCTGCTTGCACCCCATACTAGCTGCTACTATGTGCACACGCAGAGACACATACTGTTTAGGTGCCTCTTACTTTGTGTAGACCTTTGCACCTCCGAAGGATTAGGGTTTCCATGTTTCCACCTGTAATTTTCCCCCGTACTAGCAGCCTCTTCCATCTTTCCTAGCCATGTGAGGGAATATTGTTTTGGGTTTATAACCAAATCTATTTTTTATTTTTTGTTGACTTGTTGCTCTGAATTGAAACTTGCTCTACAGTCAATCACAGCAGACCCTGTGATGCTTGACTATCTCATAATCTTATCAGGCCCATTTTGTTCTTCCTTAGCTGTCGGGAAGATGTTTGAATGGAAGAATTGTTTGGCTGAACTAAAAAGACGTGCAAATTGAATTTTTCTTGTCCTATTCTTTTATTGGTCCTTTTTTTTTTTTTTTTTTTTTTGTTAAACAATGGAATTGCTTCATTCCATGGGAACAAACACAGCCACATAGTTTCCTGGTAGTTTGTCATCTTTCTCCACCAGATGCAGATCTTAGATTATGCAACTGATTAAATTTTCACACAGGGCAGAAAAATGATCCTTCTGATAAAGGTGGACCCACCTCTGGATTAAAGAAGCTGAATTTTTGTGGTTGTATTGTTATTTCTGTAAACATGCAATCTATAGTTCTGTGCTTCACCCACCCTTTTTTGAGACAGTAAAGTTGAACTATGTTACACAGACTCTTCAAAATAAATCAAATCCCCATGTTGGACACCCAACACTCGAACAAGGGTATGGGATATGTGTCGGATACTTTTCAACGGACGTTCTTATATAATTGTATATAACACTATTATTATATGTGCATATTGTTGTATAATTGCTAGGAATGTCTTTTTGACACTATAAGTTACATATAGCACCATTTTATCTCACATACTTGATTAACAATATAAAAATATGATATTTTTTTGCCGAGTCCGCGTACCTTTAAATTTATAATTTGACGAATCCAACTTCTAGATATATACCTGCACCCAACACCCGTACCCAAGTCCATGTAACATAGAAGTTGAATGCTGGTTACTATATGATGATCCTATTTTGGTGCAGTACAGGATGGAAAGTTGAGGGTTTTCAAGTGGCCTAGCATGGAAATTATTCTTGACGAAGCCAATGCTCATACCTCTGTGAAGGACTTAGATTTCAGGTTCACAGTAATAGCTTCACTAAATTAACTTAAGCCTCTTGATTTTCATTGTTAAAAAAAATTCTTCATGTGTAATGTTCTTTTGCTGACAGTGGGGTTTGGCCATGTCATGCAGCCCTGATGGGAAGTTTCTTGTCTCAGTTGGAGGTGGTGGTCCTGGTAGGATTTGGGATGTAACAGCATTGACACCTGTAGCTTCTTTATCAAAGGAAAATGTGAGTAATGATGTGTACTTAAAAACATATCTAGTGAACTAAGTTTTATACAAACCCTTTGTAGAAATTTAATGTAGTTGATTTTATTTGTCCAAGCAAGGTCTTCCAGCTCACAATTTTTCAGTGGTTAGTCAATTTCTTAACATGCTGTGCATGATACATCCAACCAATTGATCCTGTTTATGCTGGAATGGAAATCGAATTATTACAATTATCTGAAGGTGGATTTTAACACCCTTGGTGAATTAGCAGAATCGTTGATTTTATTTGTCCAAGCAAGGTCTTCCAGCTCACAATTTTTCAGTGGTTAGTCAATTTCTTAACATGCTGTGCATGATACATCCAACCAATTGATCCTGTTTATGCTGGAATGGAAATCGAATTATTACAATTATCTGACTGACCTAATGAATTGACCTGTCATAACTCTTTGTGGGGCCTTTAGATGATGACCTTAAAAACCTGGCTCTGTGTTTGACAGAAATGGATATTTTTTTTTCCCTGAAAACAGCCAAGTTCTTCCTGAACTGCTAGTTTTCTCTGTGTATTGTGGTTGTGCAACTAATTTGATATGTTGTCCTGTCCAGGATGAGCATTTTGGTTTCTGCAGATTCTCACAAAATAGTGACAACAAACAGGTTCTATATATCACTGCTATGCGAGGTGCATATTTAGTATCAGATGCCTTCCTCCTTTTTCCATCTAAAGAAAGTTACTTCTTATTAAATTGTATTATGAACTAAGAATCATGAATCACTTTCTGCTTACATAGGTCAAGGTGGAAATATTGTGAAATGGGACACTTCCTCATGGAGGAGGGTGAGCTCAAAGCACATTATTCGAGACCCAATTTCTGCTTTCAATGTTTCAGCTGATGGAAAGCTCCTTGCAATGTAAGAATTCTTATTTTATTTTGTGTTAGGTTCTATGAGAGAGATTTCCATTGTCCCTTTAAGATAGCATGCATGTGGTTCTGAGGGCATGTTTGTGGTGCTTATTGAAAAGGGGGGGACTATTTGTGGTCAGGGTAAAAGCCGAATTTTCAATGGGCTTTCTTTCTTTCTTTCTTTCTTTCTTTTTATTTTATATATATGGGCATTTAGGTCAGTTTGTGACCCTTTTACCAAATTCCAAAACCAAAAGCTAGAAGAAAGCAAAGCCAATTAAGAAAGCTAGTAAAAGGGTGGTTTTAAACAATCAATAAGAATTGGGGAATGACATCATTTTTTGGCCTGGTAATATATTTTTTTATTTTTTTATTTTAATATCTAAAAATGCCTAAAGGATAGTAACAAGAGTACTTGCTTAAGAAAGATTATGTTGGGTAACAACTAGATATGGGTGTTGGGTGCAGCTATTGTGTCAAATTCATCTAATTCTCACATCGAAGGATACCAAAAAACAGCTAGATGCTATGTTTCTTTAATACTTAGCCATAACAGTTTAGAGGTAGTAAGGATGAGTGCCTCGTACTATTGGAAATAGATGGTTGCTTTTTTGCAAACCCAAGTCGGTAGGATTTTTCAAGAAATACACAAAAGCTAATAGTAGACTCTTTTCTATCAGGACAGCTATTCCAATCTGCATTGGAGAATTTTATTTTGTTGGGGATAAAATGGTTTTTACAAATGCTTAATTATGATTTAAATTTGCCTACTTAGGCATAATTAATGGGTGTATGCATGTTCAACTAGACATGACAGACTCGTGTCACACATCCCATACCCTTACTCAAATGTCTGAATGTCTGACATAGGTACTTTACAAATTTAGAAGATCAATGTAACATGGGGTAGAAGTTCAACCCTTCACTATCTTCTCGAAGGTAAGAGGAACTTTGGAAAAAATTTGAGGAATAAAATAAGAGGAAGGTTGTTATTAAAAATAGTTAGAAATCATCATTCGTGTTCTACCAAGTAAAACAAACACTTCTACAAAGGGGCATGTTCGTATAGGACACTGACACTCGTCAGACAATTCTTGACACCTGTCGGTAATGCAGCCTGTTGTGATAAGGTTGGAGCCAAACAGTGTTTTGTTGCTAGCTCAACAATTACCAAATAAAGATCACTCCACAACTAAGGGAGGGAGAAACTAAAATTAGAGAAAAGAAATCAATAGGAGAAAACAAGGAAAATGGTTCGTAGAAGTATTATAAAGGTAGCTTCTTGTCTTACAAAATAAGAATGAAAAATATTGTTGCCCTAATTTTCATAATGGCTTTTATAGGTGATTGTTGTTCAACAGGCTCAATATTTGGCCTTGATCTTTTGAATCTTTGCCTTACAAGTGTCAGAGAACAAAAGGGTAGATACTTAATTAGATCATATCTTTTATAAGGAACCTACCCTTTTGTTTCAAGTTGTTTTATAAGTGTTGCTATGGTCTAGTTAATTATGTACCCTTTTGATACGTTTAAGGATGATGTTAAAAAGATCCAAATTGAGCCCATCTTTCTTGCTTGGTTATAGAGCTGTTTTTGTTTGATGGTTGTTGAACTAGCAACAAAAAAGTGCTTGGCTCCAGCCTTCTCACAGAAGGCTACATTAGTTAGTTACATCTACAAACTTGTCCTATTATTAATATAAAAAAAAATAGACCTGAACACTTGGGGGACACATATTGATCACTTAGACACAAATGGAACAAATTACAAGTGTCAACAAAATAACTTAAAATCCCGTGATAAAAGAAAAACAATGTAGATCTATATTTAGGGTGATGCTAACAACCCCCCAATGGGTTGTCATTAAGAGAAAGAAATGCCAAAACAGTTAGAATCTCAAGGTATTTTTTATACATCTCAAAGCACTTACCTATTTGCACTTTGGCAATTTTTTTTATATGTATTAATTCCTCATTTAAACTTTAGAAATTGTGTTATGTTTTATTTTTGTTAATTATATTTGAGTATTCATATATATGAAATATAATAATATCTAAAATTATATATTTTGTGTCTACACATATCGTATCTTCATTTTTTGAAAATTGCCGTGTTGGCATGTTTGTGTTTGTGTATGTACTTTTCTATATACTAGAAAATACTATGAACAAAAGGAGTTAATATCAATCTTTAAAAATTTTATTCACAGACAAATTAAAAGTTTGAGGTTCTACAGTTCGTAAAACTAAAAAGACCAAAAGAGAAGGGATTAATAGATACAAATCCACATTCTTGAGATTTTAATCATTGGTTTCCAAGTTTCTCTCTTCAAAATTATGTTGTGTCTCATTTTTCTAAGCGATAATAGACATGTGTGTTCCCTATAAGTGTGTGATGGGTGTCTAATTTCTAAAAATAATATCATACGTTTGGATGTGTGTAAACATGTGTTGGTAGTATTTGATGAGTGACAGTGTCTGACACACTAAGTAGCATGGACACGGATACGGACACACGACACCACACGGACATGCCAACAAGGCAAATTTCGAAAATGTAGGACAAGATATGCATGGGACATGCTACAAAATTATATATATATATATATATATTTTTTTTATAAATGTATTATATATTAAATATGTGAATAGTTTATTCAAAGGCAATGAAGAAAAGGAACATAATACTAATTAATGTTAAAAAGTCATACATTCCATAACTTAAATATCAAGATATCATTCACATAACGTTTGTATTCTAAAGAATGCAAAATAATTGTAGTCGTAGAACATTGAAATATACGTGATATATTCATTTTATAAATGTTTCAAACATATTTAGAGTGTAAAATAATTGTAGACATTGAAATACACATGATTTATTTCTCTTATAAATGTTTCAAAACATATTTAGAGGTTGTTAAAATCGGGATCCTACGTTGGATCGTTGGAGATGTTTATAGGATCGGATCGTAGAATCGGATCGAGGATCATAAGATCCTACCGAAAAAGACAAATTACATAATAATTTAATTTAAATAAATATTTATTATAAAGTATACACAAAATGAGCCTATATTTTATTAAAAAGAAGTGAAAATATTGTGAAAAATATAATACTCTATGTAAAATGTACATATAATAATATACAATAGAAAACTCGATGGTAAAAGTTTTGTATTTTATCAAAAAAGAAGGTGAAGAAGAAGAAGAATTCTATAACAAAATAATTCACAATCTACAATAATGCATAAAAAGTGAAGAAAAAATATTTAATAAAGTTGGATATGAAAATAGATTAAGAACTCAAAAGAGTAGCTTAACCAAATGATAAGATTTGTCGTTAGCATCCCTGGTGGAGCAGATTCAAGTCACAAAAATAATCTCTCCAAAAATTGGAATAAAGTTGCAATCATCTTACTCTCGTCAGACTCCGCTAAAGCTAAGTTTGTTTTTCCGACTATTTAATTTTCTTAAATTACCGCAATATTTGAATGTTTGTTTCTTAGTTTGTTTTTCTTAGTCTATTTGATTCAATACGACTTAATTTTTATCATTTATTTTGACCACGTAAATTGGTATTTAGACAATAAACATAAAATTTACAATAAAGTATGTCATACAATACAAAATAAGGCTTGTAAATTGGATCGGATAGGATCGGATTCGGATCGGGATTCCATGATCCTATAAGATCCCACTACCAGGATCGAAAGATCCTACCTATAAGGAGATTTTTACACGATCCGGATCGATTGTACTTAAATGGATCGTAAGATCGTAGGATCGTAAGATCCAGATCGGGATTCTGATAACCATGATTTAGAGTGCACATTGTTACTATTAAAAGATTCTTCACATAAGTCATGTTCGGAGGATTCAAGAACTGTTACCAAAGTGTGTGTGATGTATTTGAAATTATGAATTTAAAATTTTAATTAAGGTGCGTGGAAGAAGTGTTGGACACGTTTTTAGGAGTATCCTTGAGAGTGTTGGTGTCCAATACAACAAGCCTCCTCCATAGATGTGTTTGTGCTTCTTAGCCAACACGTGCCCAACATGACACAACACCCTTTTAAAAATGTCCATGCTTTTTAGGGTTTTTTTATTTTTAAATTGCCATGTTTTTAAGGTATAGGCCAATTGGAAGTATGCAGTAGTACAATCAAGTTTTTAGCCTTAGTAAAATAGTGAAATCTTATTTCATAATTTTTTATTGATAGTTGTTATGTTATTAGGCCTTTCTGTATGTTTTTTATTTGGTGAAGATGAGTTTTGAAGTAAAGGCTTAGTTTCCAAAATAGGAAGCCTTATTAGGTTTGAAGTCCTTCGAAACCTATGTAAAGTCATGTAATGTTTCTAATACAATAGTGAAAATGTCTTAGTTTGAGAAACTCTCTTGTGCTGTGATGCAATCTTCTTCTTCTTCTTTCAGCTTTTGGAACCTTTAAGCATTAATTTGCAAAACCAGTCTAAAGCCTTTTTCTCAACCCTAGGAATCCTACTGCACAACTCCAATTCCTTGCCTACCATGATTACATCCTTGAGTTCAAAATAATTTATAACAGCCTTAGTTATATTGGCAGCCCCATAATTTCTTCTATTCTCTGTTTAACTACAGCTCCATGCCAAAAATCATGAAGCTGAAAATCCATAACACGGTGCTTCCATCCAAAATATAACCAAAGTAAGAGATCAGATCAGACTGACACAGGACGAGCGGAAAGAATACTCCTATAAATTCTAACAGATGCGGGGCACCAGAAACGAAATCTTCTTTTAGGGTTGCAATTAAAAGTTCTGTAGCTAGAAGGTTGGTAAAATTTATGGTGTTGGTTAGAGTTACAAAGGGCTAGTGTCAGTAGTAGAAGTAATAACTTGTAATACTAGTAGTAATAACAACTACTACTCGTGAAGCTCTGGCATTGGTCTCCTTTATTTAAGAAAAGACTAATTAAGGAATTGGTGGAAAACCCTTGAAGTAACCATGGTGCACTTGCGGGAAACTCCTTGCTGAGGGCCTGTGCACCTTTGGGGATTAGTCTGGCTTTGATCCGGACACCCCGGTGCCAATCAAAAATAAATAAAAAATTTGGCCTACAATGCTACCTATATCAGTCAAAATCTTATCATATGTTTTTTTCAAGTACTCTGAATTTAGTATTTATGCTTTTCATTGATCAACATGCAGAGGAACAATTCAAGGGGACATTTTAATTGTAAATTCTGCCAGTATGCGCGTGCAGAACATGGTTAGAAAAGCACACCTTGGCCTTGTAACTGCGTTGATGTTCTCCCAAGATTCAAGGTTTTAATACTGCTAGTCCATTTTATATCCCTTCATTAATCAATGCTTGTGCTGTAGTGTGGCTGTGCTGTCTATGAAATGTTGCTAATAGGGAAGCATGTGCCTTTTAAATAGGGCTTTGGTCTCTGCGTCCATGGATTCAAGTGCAAGGGTAACTCTAATCAAGGACAAGAAGAAAAGTGGTATGTTCCTCCTCCAATTTCCTGATACTGGAGAAATAAACTGTGTGAATATTATCCCCAATCAACTTGGAAATGATTAGCCTGGTTTACAGTTTAGAAAGCCAACCACAGCCCAAAATTGGATCTAAGCTAAGATTTGAGATCCATCAGCTGTGTATTTAATAGAACCAACTAGATATGAAGGGATGGCAAAATTACCCGAACCGATTATATTTGATCCAATCCGATTTTAATAAAAAAAATTTGGGAAAGCATTGATAAGGTATGATAAAGTATATGGCTAGGTAGCTCAAAACTGTCATGGTTAGGGTAAAGTATGAAATTGTATCATTAAAATAATTGAGTTTAAAGGCAAGAATTCACTCTCAAAACCCAAAAAACCCAACCCATTGACTGATCATGGAAGGTTGGGGTGGTAAATTGGGTGGGCTTTTGGGATGAGTCAAAACGGGTACTGATTAGAACGAAGCAACCCCAAACCCACCCAATTTATGAGGGAGTTCTGTTTGGGTTGAGTCAAGACTGGTCGGGTTGGATATGGGTAACCAATTTGATGAGTCTACTCTTTTTTTGTAAGGTGGCAGATGGTCTACTCTTTTTGGATATGGTTCCCCATTCCCTCTTCCTTTTCAAGTGACTTCTGGTCATATTTATTATATGTATACAGTTCCATATAGCATATGCACTACACAGGTAAACACAAAAAGTTAAAATGGACCCAATTTTGACCCAGTGTATATATGTATCTTTATTTATGTATATGAAGAAAATAGCTCTCTTTCTCAATGATTGGAATTCTTATCCAAGTACCGAAAGGGAGGAAAAGAAAAAGAAAGAAAAGGGAAAAGTATCTAATGAAAACAAACATAAGGACAGAGAGATTGAAAAACAGTTGAAATTTTTTCACATATAAAGAGAGAAAATTAAGACAAAACAAACAGAGAGAGAAAAGATGAAGGATGAGACAATAGTGTCAGATGATCTAGGATATTAACTAAATCAAAAATATTCTTGGAAGTTGGGAACCTAACAACCATTGCTACTGCATTTATTATAAAAGGAATTAAAATTATCATGATCAAGATGGTTTGAATAGTGTGTGTAGGATTATTATGATGGCAGTGAAGGGCAACATGATTAAATGTTTTGAGGTTGCTTAGGTTATTGAGTGTGCATTTCCATCTTCCATCTATTTGCAGATGATACCATAATTTTCTTTTGGTGTGTGCTTAGAGCCGGTGTATGGATTGCTTGTGAATGTGGGTAAAAAAAGTAGGTTTGTCCTTGTGGAGAGGTGCAAGATATCCATGTTTAGCTTTCAAATATGGGATTTAGAGAAGCATTCCTTCCTTCACATTGAGGCCTTTTGCTTTGGTTTTCTTACAATGCCACCACCACAATTGTAGGACAATGGATTGAATGTTTTGAAAGGAGATCGACAGAGTGGAAGACACAATACCTCTTGGGAGGAGAGCTTACCCTTGTTAAAAGTACCTCATCAAGCCTCTTACCTACTTTTTGTCTATATATATAATATATCATCCTTCTTATGGGATTTGAAAAACCCTAAAGATAAGGTCTTGAGGAGTAGTTCAAGTATATCATCTTGTGAATTAGGAGATGGCTTGCATAGCGAGGGAAAAAGTTGGTTAGTGTATTTGACATTTTCGAAACTTTAATGATAAGGCACTATTTGGGAAGTGAATTTAGAGACATGCTTATGAAGTGGGGAGCTTTTGGAGGCCCATGGTGGAGTGTAAATTTGGCTCTTTGGTATCGAGTGGACATCTAAATATGTCCCACAAGGAATGCTACTGAACATATCGGTAGCCCAAAAACAAAAAGAACCAAATATGTGCTTACCACATTGGCACAGGGACCCTAAATGGTAAAGAAGTAGTCAGAAAACTTGTTATCACAGAATAATACTACTGAACACACTGGTAGCCCCGAAACATGTAAAAGTCATAAAGTTTGCGTACCACATCAGCAAACTAGTGGTCAACACAAGGAAGAGGGAAAAACACCCTGATAATGAAATTAAATAAATAAAAAAAATAAATTGGTGGAGTGATGCAACGAAGAATCATGCAGCTAAGATAGTCGCAACTCTTCTACAAATCTGTTGAATCAAAAGATTATCAAAGTTGTTTTGCCCTAAGGCTTACAAGCTTATTTATAATAGAACTAACCCTAATTTAACTTAGGAAACAAAACAGAAAAGGATAAAGCTTGTTAATTATGCCTAAATCTAATAAAATAAGAAATTTGCCAAAAATGGAAAGATACGAGTTAAGCTCAAATATTGAAAATATAATGAAAACTAAGAATGCAAGAAAAAACCTAGCCTCAAATGGATTTGCTAAGACCAAGTAATTAAAGAAACAAATCTTTCCTAAAATGGCAAAATCGAGCAATTGAAGGCCTAAACAGTGGAATTTGGCCAAAATCTATTGTACGCCATGGCAAAGCGATGGGTACTGATCGTGCTGCCATTTTCCTTGTTCGGACTGACTCTCAAGCTATTCTGAGCATGTGCCATTTTGCGTCTACTAGTACTTTCGTCCTTTGCCCTGCATATCTATGAGTTCCAAGACCTCTATGGCCAAGCATTCTGCATCATCCTCCCTAGGTTGGAAAGAATTCGCCACATTATCATCATTAAGGAACTCTATGGCCAAACAGTGTCTGTCATAAAGGAACACTTGTTCTTTGCCGCAAAGAATTTTTCTGCCCTCAAAACTGTAAGGACCTCTCGAATGTGCTGGAGATGTACTTCCACATTAGGACTATAAATCAAAATGTCATCAAAATATACTACCACAAACTTACCAATGAAGGGTCGGAAAATCTGATTCATGGCTCGCATGAATGTACTAGGGCCATTAGAGAGCCCAAACGGCATAACCAACCACTCACATAACCCCTCACGAGTCTTGAAAGCAATTTTCCATTCATCTCCAAGTTGAAGTCGAGTCTGATGATAGCCACTCTTCAGATCTAATTTGGTAAATACAATGGCGCCACTCAATTGATCCAGTAAGTCATCTAGCTGAGGAATGGGGAATCTGTAGCAAACTGTGATTTTGTTGATTACGCCACTGTCCACACACATCCGCCATGATCCGTCCTTCTTGGGAGTGAGCAGAGCAAGCACAACACATGGACTAATGCTCTCCCGAACATGACCTTTTGATAGTAGCACCTCCACCTGTCGTCTCAATTCTTCATGTTCTTTAGGACTCATTCGATAGTGGGGCCTGTTTGGTAGATTAGACCTAGGAACTAGATCTATCTGGTGCTTAATGTCCCATAGCGGTGGTAAATCATCTGGAAGCCCTTCTGGAAACAGATCATTGAATTCCTCCATTAAAGGTTGTACTTGCTGTGAAACTGTATTACTGGTAGAGCATTCTCTTCCCAATAACACATACACAACTGCTGATTCTTGCGCTGCCCCTAGGAACTCCTTCCTTATCAGCAAGTTATTTTCATCCCCTGAGGAAGGCTTGGCTGCCACTACCCTGCTAGGTAAAACTACAATTTTTGTTTTGTCGAACAAAAAGTTGCTAGTGTTCGTCTTTCCATCATGCTGAGCATCCCTATCATATTGCCCGGGCCTCCCTCCCCAACAAAAGGTGACAAGCATCCATGGTAATCACATCACATCATGCTTTATCCTTATATTTTGTCCCAATTGAAAAAGAGACTAAGCAATGTTTAGACAATGTTAAGAACGGTTGTGAGGTAAGAACTTCAGAACGTCGCACGCATGTGCTTCAACAACTTTTCCCATGCAGTGATCTTCTGCTTTCCCTGATGCAACCAGGTCTGTTTCTGTTGTTGCCACCACGCAGCAGCACGTCCCCTGAATTTGGTTGCCACCAAAGGAACCCTTTTGTCAAGGGGAACCTCCTTGAACTCCAAGATTTCCTCTACTGCAGCCACCCAATCTAGAAATTCTTCAGGTTGTAAACAACCCTTGAATTCCAGATTATCAGGTTTGAAACCCAATTCCCACCGATTGGATGTATTATTTGCCATCGGTGGTCTGTATGCACCAAACAGGTTCTCGTCTTCATACTCAATATCAAACCCTTCATCCTCCTCCACATGTTGTGGATTTGGACAACGGTTTCGAGGCACACCATTACCAACCGTCATGGCAGCGAGCTGCTCTCTCAGCGCTTCAACTTGCCCAATGAAACGTTGTGTTATCCGGGCCTCTAGTTGTGCTTTTTGATCAGGAACCGAGCCTAAACTCTGATACCAACTGACACAGCGTAGAAACGTGACAGCAGCAGAATAGCGCAGCTAAGACAGCCGCAACTCTTCTACAAATCTGTTGAACCAAAAGATTACCAGAAATATAGGAAAAGAAGAGAATTCACTCTCAAATTGTTTGTAATATATCAAAGGTGTTTTTCCCCAAGGCTTACATGTTTATTTATTATAGAACTAACCCTGATTCAACTTAGAAAATAAACCAGAAAAGGTGAAGCTTGCTAATTACGCCTAAATCTAATGAAATACAAAATTTGTAAAAAAGGGAAAGATTTGAGTCAAGCTCAAATCTTGAAAATATAATGAAAACTAAGAATGCTGGAAAAAAACTAGCCTCAAATGGATTTGTTAAGACTAAGTAATTAAGGAAACAAATCTTTCCTAAAACGGCAAAATCGAGCAATTGAAGGCCTAAATAGTGGAATATTGGCGTACATCCACACACACACAAAGCCCGATGGATTACATCTTTCATTCACTCAACTTAATACTCTTGTTTACATGATATACCATATATATAGAGTGGGAGATATAATTAAATCCTTCAGTTGAGGAATTAAAATAAATCAAAGATACAAAATAATCATAATATGCACAAATCATGGGATCTCCATATATTTTGATATCTTCCGTATCTTCCAACAACATGTGCTTGATGTTGTGTGTTTGGTGAGATAAAACCCAACACATCTATGAAGATGTACTGATAGCATTTACATAGCCTTTTCAACTAACCTTATTTCGGCTATTCTTGTTTGGTTGAAGAAGTTTTGTAGCACTTCTTTTTTGTTGGTGGATTTTATCAGAGTTATATTTTGGTGAAGTTTTTGTAACCTTATTTTTCTTTTTGTATGACTCTGGGCTCTGAGCAGTGACACTGTGACACCTCCTTGACTCCTTTTAAAAAAAAATTACAGTTTTAAAATAAGTGTTAGACATGGCCCTAAAAACAAGAAAATAGTGGAGAAATTACAAGATAAACACGGCCATATGGTTTTCAGGACTTATTTGATAATTTTTCGTTATATAACTGACAATTTTATTGTTTATATCCTCAACAATACCTTGCTAAAGATTTATAAATTGTCAGCTCTTTCTTTTTGGTTGCAATATCTTTTGATAAAATCTAATGTTCTATTCCAAGTTTTCTACTTAGCTCATGAAAATATAATGATAAAAATCAATTTGTTTTTGGTTTTGCAGGATTGAGCTTGTGGGTCATTATATTAATCATTTTGCTTGCGATATCTGTATATTATATGAAGACTGAAGGTATTCTTCCTTAGATACATCTGTTTTACCCTATATATATATGAAAAATTACCTTTGCCATGGTGAACAAGTTGACTTTACCAAGGAGAGGTCGGACCTATGACTATTATTATTCTAATATGAATCGACAGACTTGGAAGCCTGGTTTCTTAGGCAAAGCATTGAGGATTGCCTTGTTAGGTCAAAAATGTTTAGATCCCTAAAAACATCATTTTACTTAATGATATGACATGGTACGTTTCAATTTTTGATTTGTTACAAATTTAATCGTATATGGTTCAACTCTACATTGTAAGTGAATTGTAAATTTTAATTTGTCAATTTCTAACAATTCTACTTATAATGAATATTGTGGCTAGCGGTGAAACCATCATTGTAGCGTGCAATTTTTTTATTTTTTATTTTTGGTATTTTGTAGACTCGGGTCTCTCAATTGAAGGTTGCTTATGATCTTGATTACACAATTTCTTAAAAAATTGCTGACTTTGTATGTTATATTGTCTTTTAATACAATAACAAAAAAATTATTGAATAGTTGTAATTATAAAGTTGGGCATCATCATGTGTATTTGGTCCAAGGCAAGGCAAGTTGCTAGTTTCTCCATTGAACCATTGCTTGGCTGCTTCAGGTGGTGTCACTTATATGCATAATAACCTATTGACTGAGATAAAAATATTTTATGTACATTACGTAGTCGAGTAGATGTGTATATTTTTCATTTTTTCTTTGTTATGCGATAAAAAGTGTTGAATATTTGACCACATCAAATTTAGTCCTTACTTTTGATTACATGATAAACAAAGGAATGACTCCCCTCTATATCACTATCTTCTATATACTTTCATATTTTATCTCGTGGGCCTCATCTCGAGTCTATAAAGATGATTCAAATTATTCATTTTGCAAGCCTAGCAATAAAAATGAGTTGTGCAAAAAAAAAAAAAAAAAAAAAAAAAAAAAAAAAAAAAAAAAAAAATTCAGACATCATTGGATACATGAACAAATTATATTTTATTTTTTAAAATGAATGGTAATTATAAGTTTAAACTTAAAACTATATATTTTATAAAGTGAAGTGCGATTTGTACATTTATTCATTGATATTTAACAAAATTGATTTTTTACACGGATGGTTTTTATTATAAAATTTACAAAATGAATGGGTCATATTATCATTATGGGCCTAGAGTGGGACCTATAAAATAAAATATGGAAAAAAATAAGGGATAGTGATATAGAGGAGCAATTGCTGATAAGTAATGAGTAGAAGGTACGCCATGTCAATTTGACTATGTAGTAGTGTATCTCTTAAGATAAAATAAGGAGATATAACAGTTGAATGTAGGTTTGTAAAAAAAAATTTAAACTACAGATAAATTTTAATAACTAAAATTATAATTTTTTTTTATGAATCAGTAGTTATTTTTGAGAATAACACTCATCAGTAATTTCCCCATAAAATAATGGGAAATTCACTTATAAATTTTAATAAGTGAATTTATTATTTAGTAGGTCTTATGATAATTAATGACATTTTTCATTAATCATTAATAAAAAAAAGGTTACTAATTATTAATTTTTATTGACAGTTTGAAAATTGTCATAAAAAATGTCACTAATTATAAGTTTTAGTGGCAGTTTAAAAAAAGCGTAACAAAAAAGTTACTAATTTTTAATTTTTAACAACGGTTTGAAAAATTCGTTATATAAAATTGTTGCTAATTGTAAGTTTTAGGAACAATTTATAAAAATCGTGACAAAAAAAAAATTCATTAATTATCAATTTTTAGCAACATATGTAAAAAATTGTCATAAAATTATTTTTAACGACAATTTTATTAGGACTTGATGGAAATTAAGTCTAATTATTAAGATCTATTGGTAGTTTCCGCTAAAATAATTATCGGTGGTACTACATGCACCAATTAGTGTACATACTAATATATCAATTAGTATTGTGATATTATTATTGACCACATTTATTATACAAATTATAAATATTCAATTGTGATATTATTATTGATCACATTTATTATACAAGTTATAAATATTCAAAACTATACAAATGATGTCACATGTATATATTAATTGATACATGTAACATTATTCAATAATTATTCACCATTGCAGATATTTTAACCATTGTAAATATTATTATTGTAAATCAAAGTACAAAATATGCAGCGGAATAAAATGTTTAGATCATACCTTTTTTATGATAGAACCTCGTGGATAAATCACGCGCTTTCTGAATCTAGTCAATCAACCCAGCAGTGAAGTGATATTACAATATTGAATATCACCCACACAAACCACAGTGCAAATGGCTTTGATCGTTATTTTGGGAGAGAGTCAGTATCTGGGTAGAAACAGATCATACGTTGTTTTTCTCTTAATTACCCATAACCATATATCAGATATATAATATATTATTATATCTATCCATATCAGTTAAAACTGATAATATCTGTATCTTGAGTGGTTATCCTAAATAGGTTTGAATTCAATTTCAAAACCTATTTGGATAGGATTCCAAATTCAAATTCAAATGGTCATGCCACATGGGCGCCCATTACTAACATCACTATCTTCTATATACTTTCATATTTTATCTCGTGGGCCTCATCTCGAGTCTATAAAGATGATTCAAACTATTCATTTTGCAAGCCTAGCAGTAAAAATGAGTTGTGCAAAAAAAAATAAAAATAAAAATAAAAATAAAATTCAGACATCATTGGATACATGAGCAAATTATATTTTATTTTTTAAAATGAATGGTAATTATAAGTTTAAACTTAAAACTATATATTTTATAAAATAAAGTACGATTTGTACATTTATTTATTGATATTTAACAAAATTGATTTTTTACACAGATGGTTTTTATTATAAAATTTACAAAATGAATCGGTCATATTATCATTATGGGCCTAGAGTGGGACTTTTAAAATAAAATATGGAAAAATATAAGGGATAGTGATATAGAGGAGCAATTGCTGATAAGTAATGAGTAGAAGGTACGCCATATCAATTTAACTATGTAGTAGTGTATCTCTGAAGATAAAATAAGGAGATATAACAGTTGAATGTAGGTTTGTAAAAAAAAATTTAAACTAATGATAAATTTTAATAACTAAAATTATAAAAAAAAATTTATGAATCAGTAGTTATTTTTGAGAATAACACTCATCAGTAATTTCCCCATAAAATAATGGGAAATTCGCTTATAAATTTTAATAAGTGAATTTATTATTTAGTAGATCTTATGACAATTAATAACATTTTTCATTAATCATTAATAAAAAAAGGTTACTAATTATTAATTTTTAGTGGTAGTTTGAAAATTGTCATAAAAAATGTCACTAATTATAAGTTTTAGTAGTAGTTTAAAAAAAGCGTAACAAAAAAGTTACTAATTTTTAATTTTTAACAACGGTTTGAAAAATTCGTTACATAAAAATGTTGCTAATTGTAAGTTTTAGGAACAATTTATAAAAATCTTGACAAAAAAAAAAATCATTAATTATCAATTTTTAGCAACATATGTAAAAAATTGTCATAAAATTATTTTTAACGACAATTTTATTAGGACTTGATGGAAATTAAGTTTAATTATTAAGATCTATTAGTAGTTTCCGTTAAAATAATTATCGGTGGTACTACATGCACCAATTAGTGTACATACTAATATACCAACTAGTATTGTGATATTATTATTGATCACATTTATTATATAAGCTATAAATATTTAAAACTATACAAATGATATCATATATGTATATTAATTAATATATGTAACATTATTCAATAATTATTCACCATTGCAGATATTTTAACCATTGTAAATATTATTATTAAAGGGAAGATCTAGAGGAATCTTATTTTAAGACAGTTGGGAAGTGTTTGATTGCAGGACTTATATACCGCCTCATAATAGTATTCATTGAAGTTGACTTTTCATCGAGGTTTATGTTTCTTGTTTGAGAAAAGATAGGGATCATGAAAATTTTTTCATGAAACTGATCATAAAAAATTTATGACCCTTAGATTACCTTGATTAGTGTATGGTGTTTTATTTTAAGTGTAATCTAAGAGTCATAAATCTTTCATGATCATTTTCATGAAAGTTTTTTCATGATACGTAGCATTGCTCTTCTTGTTTTGTTTCGTTTTAATACACTCAAAAACATCATTATACTTATCAACAAATATATATATATATATATATATAATTACTTTATATTCTATTTGATTTACTAAAATAAAATAGAATGGTCATATTTTAAGCTCTTTTACCAAATTATTTCATTCCTTGCAATGGTAAATGATAGTTTCATGTACAATGTATTTATTATTATTTTTTTAATTAACTAAACATGATAATAGATATTTTGGTAAAATGATTATTGTCTTTTACCCCATTCAATTGAACCAAACATGATTATTCCATTTATAATTTTCAAAGAGCTTTTCAAGAAATTAGCTTCTTGCCTTGATTATTGAGGTAAGACTATTTTTAATCTTGTATCTCTTTACTTTGAGGATGTTTATGTGATGCTATTATAATGTTGATGCTATAATTACATGTTTGAGTTTACAAATATGGGTTTTGCTTTTAAAAATGAAAATTTCTCTATATTATCTTAAGATTTCTATTAAGGTTTTATGGATTATGGAAATTTTAGTTGAGATATAGCATTTAACATGATGGAGGGACAAAAGCTCCAAATTTGATGAAAACCCTAATTTTTTTTTGTAATTAAGTAAGAATGAAATCAAATGAAATTGATTTTCAATTCTTTAAATTGATGAATGAATTATGAGATTTGAGATGTATCTTGGTTCGAAGATTTGTGAAATTGGAGGCTTTTGAAGTTTTCTTTTGAATTATGCGAATTGTGACTTCATATTGCTTTAATTACTTGAATGGTGAAATCTATCTTTATTTTTCATGAATGTATAAATTCTTGAAAATCTTGGAATGATTGTTTAAGTGGGTGGTAAATAACGTGTAAGTCTAGATAGGGAGTCGAGTTTTAAAAAGTGTTGAGTGTGTGGTACACGCGCAGGGAAAGTCTAGGTGCCCAATTGCCCCCCTATCTTGAGCTTACCGCCGGACGAATGTGAGAAATGTTTTAGGGTGTCCATTGGTCCTACTGTATTGTAGTCGGTAAAAGTAAAAAAATGAATAATTTTGAATGCCCATTCCCTACCATATCAATAGCCGACAAATGTGAGGATATTTTCAATTCGGTATCGGTTCAAGTACCTTGTGCACTGAACTAAATCGAAACCGACCATTTCAACACATATTGTATTTATAAAATATATATATACACATATATAATCTAATAATATAATGATATTAATAAGTATAATAAATTACTAACCTTAATTATTTAATCTTATCATCTCTATAATCTAAGTTTGTAAACTATAATTATGTATGATCTTAACTCTAACTCATTTTTTTTGAAACCATAGTAATTTTTAACTTTTATTTTTTATTTTTTATTTTTGTTAATCTAGGAATTGAAAAGTATTTATTAAATAGATGGATTGGATATGTTTGAAATGGTGAACAAATAATTATTTAACATTTTTATATAGATTAGTGATTATTATATTTAAAAGTGACTCACGTTTGAAAAGTCCTAAACTGATTAAATTGCACTGAACCAAACCGTTTCAATCAATTCGGTGCGGTGCAGTTTGATGGGAAAAACAGTCTATATTGGTATTCAAAATAATAAAATAGACATTATCGGTTTGGTGAAATTTTTCTCCTAAATACTGACTGCACCGAACCGATTATATCCCTAGGGTAGAGTATGGATCAATGGCCTCCCACTCTACTTCCACCCCATTTCTGCTGCTTGCCCCTATCCCTGACCCTCATGGAACTCTCTCTCATTCCCACTCAAACTCACAATTATAACTCTCACCCCCCGACTTTACCTGATCTGCAACACAATAAGAAATTTAACAATAATATTAAAATTTAATAATTAAAACTAGAAAATACTATTTATAATTAAAAAATATATTATGTATTGTACATATATTAAAATTATATTATATATAACATAATAAAAACCGAATAGATATTATATATATTCTATAAAATTTTAACAATATATTATACACATATTACATATGTATATATGTAATACTATTATTTATATTATTACTTGTAAACAATCGTGCAGGTATTTTTTATTTTGTGCTTCACATTTTCTTCAAATTTTTGGTCCATTAATGAAGTCGAAGAGTTGATTTATTCATGTGGGTGCAGATTTTGGACATTAATAATATGTAATTATTTTTCAATTGGGTAATTTTTTCCATGTTTGTGTACAATGGATCCACATTGGTATTCATAAAAGGATCTTTGTACCAAAAGGTGCTCAATTTCTTTAGTTTTTCATGGGATTTTTAAAAGTTAAAAAGGCAATAGTGCATGGTCAAATAATTAATTTCTGCTGGTCGATATTTCAACCAATAGTAAAAGGTGTCAATGTGGAAGAGATGATGGGGGCCGGAGTTATCCCTACTTTAATGTCATGGTTTCAATAGTCCCTTGATGTCTACTACAAAGAACATTTGTATCCCAAGAGGATGCCCTGAATAAGAATAATTTATCTGCTTTTATAATATGTTCATCTTTTTAAAGTTTGTTTATTTATCAAAAAATAAAATAAAATAAAATGTTCATCTTTGTATTGTCTAATTTAATAAGCAATTGGGAAAATCAATTGCACACGTTTTTATCTCCTCAATATAATAAGCAACGTACCTCTTTTCTTTTGTTTTCTTCTTCTAGTCTTAGTTAAGTGGGGGCTGGGGCGCAGTTTTTAAATGGGGATGGCAAGAAAGAGGAAGTGTTTCAAATTGGAGAAAAAGAGTCGAATTGGAAGTCACGTAAGAAGGAAGGAGGCTACTTCCCAAAAATGCACAGATATCTAAATTTGATAGTTTTAGATACCATTTCAGACCTATTGCCAGTACTATGTATCAAAATTTTGTATCCATTTTTCATGATATTATGCATGGATCAGACTTGACTAGCCCATAGAATCTTAGGGTTTTCCCTGATGCTGCTACAAATAGGACAAATATACGCCAAATCTCGAAGGATGAGGTTCAAATTCGCCATTGCTATTATTTATATGCTTCCAGTCTCCTTAGAAGTCTGCTGAATTCACTTGGGTGTGGGTCTCCGTGTAATGTTTATCGATGATGATTATGATTAATCAGAGTGAAAGTCAAGACTTCTTTACCTATGTTTCATCTGTTACATATTATTATTTTCTTTTCTTGCAGAACTTTTCAAGATGGTCTGTGAAGTCAATGAAACTGATGTAAAGATAGGCATACCTGCTGTCATGCTCCCACAAGATGCTGGCACAAGCTTGGAAAAAAGTATAATGAACAACTTAAGTGGTAAGGTGTATTCTGTATGGTTTCAAAGATTAATGGAAAAAATAACTAATTATATGTTTGAATTAATAACACTATTAACAATGTGTCTTCCTTGTCTTATATGATATTATTCTCTTGTTATTGATACCAGATGTTGTATTTGTATGCATTGATTAGTTTCTTTCCACCATAACTTACATGCCCATTTCTTCAGTTACAGTGCAGCTATACTCTCCAAAGCGCCCACCAGTCGACATAGCTGAAGTGTTTCTGTGGCTTATGGCTGTTGGTACTATCTTATGTGCTTCTTATTGGTCTGCATGGAGTGCCAAAGAAGCAGCCATTGAGCAAGACAAACTCCTAAAGGTCATTATCCAATACCTTCTCATATACATAACCTTATCTTAAAGAAGGTTTATCATTTGCAAGATGTGAATAGTTGCAAGATACCACTGTTTTCTCTTGATTTGAGGTTGTTTATGTAGGATGCTTCGGATGAAGTTTTAAGCACGGAGGCCACTGGTTCTAGCGGTGTGGTCGACATCAGCACAACTTCAGCAATCCTCTTTGTTGTGATTGCTTCGTGTTTCTTGGTCATGCTTTACAAACTAATGTCACTCTGGTTTATTGAGATCCTGGTTGTTCTGTTTGCCATTGGAGGGGCAGAGGTGTGTCCATTCTTCATTTTACATTTTTTTTTGTTACATGCTCACAATATACTAAAGAATATTTAAGGTCACTTGTTCTAAAAAAAATTGAAAACCAAATGTCTAATTAGTTTTAAGCAAGCCAGTATTATTATTTGTGGTTAGTAAATTATAGACAGGTTTCCCTGAGCAATCCTAGTAATTGCTGAATAAAGTCTTGTTCCTCTTTTCTAACATCTACCTCTTCTCTATGTTACACGGACTCGGATATGGGTATCTGATGCGGATGTGTATCTAGGGGTCAGATACTTCAAAATTAAAAATTGAGGATATGTAGATATGGGTCCAAATTTGGATATGGGTACGAGGATACGTTAAATAGTTTTTTTTAAAAATATATTTTTATATGAAGATGAGTTAAAAAAAAAAACCCTCTTCTATATATAGGAATCATGAATCATTGTAATAGAAATCAATATATCAATCAATAATAATACATACAATTTATTCTCTCTCTTTCTCTATACATTATTTCTTACAATTTTTTTATTTTTAATTGACATACATGTACATATTTTTTCAATAAATAAATTGACATACATATATATATATGTTATAAATGAAAAAAGATGAGTTTAAAAAAAACTAAGGAATAATAGATTTTTTTAAAAATATATATATATATACTTCTTTCATATTTATTTTAATCCTTAAAAAAAAAATAAATAAAAAATTATTATAGATATAAAATAAATTATATTATATATGATAAAATAAGTTATTTTTATTTTAGACATAAAAATTATATTATTTATGACATATTATATTATACAATTTTTTTTTGGGTGAATTATATTATATAATATGAATAATATTATAAATTATTATATTAATGTAATATCATATTAATGTAATTTATATTATATAATATAAATGTAATTAAAAATATGAGAAAAGAGAACATAGAGAGTAAAGAGAAGACAAAAAGAAAGAAGAGAGAAGTCAACAAAAGAAGAGGGAGATCGAGATCGAGAGAGGAGAGGAAGAGGGAGATCGAGATCGAGATCGAGAGACGAGAAGAGAGGAAGAGAGAGATCGAGAGACGAGAGAGAAGACAGAGAAGGAGATCGAGCATCGAGCGAAAGTCGAAGTTGTCGAAGCAGCGACCAGAGGGATCGAAGTCGGCGACTGATGTCTTCGCCCTTTCGAACGGCAACTAGGTTCTCTCTTGCTCTCTCATCTTTCATTTCTTTTGTCATTTGTAAAGAGCCGTGTTCGAGAGAGAAGAGGTGAATCCGACATAGATCCCACACTTGCACCCGCGTCGTGTCGTGTCGACACGGGTACTTCGCCCCAAAGTGCCGAGTCCGTGTAACATAGTTCTCCCGTATATAGACTTGCATATTTTTTCTAACCTACCCAAATTTCTTGTAGTGTTTGTGTGTGTATGTGTATATATATATATATATTGTTACGGCCAGCTCACTATTGTTCAACAAGTTTCCAGTGTAGTACTCATCACAATTGTGTCCATTGTTACACATGGTTGTGCATACTGAAAATAGGTCAGGCAGATATTGTAGCCTATGGTCTCAAAGGCTGCATATACCTCAATTGTAAAGCGTGTCTCCTGTTTGGGATTAAACTCATGTACATCTTATTTGTGACATGGGCCCTTAGAGGTTTGAGCCTCAAGGTGTTCTTTCTCTGGACTTGTGTTGAAGTGAGCCTGAGGACCTGAGCCTCATATACTTTATGAACCTCACTTCATATTAACATGCTTGCTTGTCAGAGTTCAGAATACATCCATTGAAACAAGACATGAGCTGGTGAACTCAATTCATCTCATTTTTTCTTCTCGTTCTTTTGAATGCTGAACCTTGTATTCTCATTCTATTTGCAGGGTTTACAAACCTGTTTGGTGGCCTTGTTATCAAGGTATGTGTGGTATTGACTTTTTCAAAGCACAATAGTGTAATGTGTCACTTTTAAAGGGTTAAGCTTTGTTGAGAGGGAAAAGAAAAATGTCTAGCTATTATTTATCTGTGCATTTAAGAGAATATACATGCATGACAGAATTGTGATGGGATTATTCTTCTTCCTTTTTATTTATTATTGTTATTATTTTAAATCTTTCAAATGCACTTTATATGCATGTCTAGCTATATTTTACTTCTAACTTTCTCTTCTAGTTTCTTGTTTTGAGGACTCCTTGTCCTCCTTTGTATCTCTTTTTTTTTTTTTTCTTTTTTAATAAAATTTTGTTTTGTTGTTGATCAAAAAAATATTTTACTTTGCACATTGATCTGTCCTCGTCTATGAAGCACGGATACTCCAAAATAGGCTGCGTATGAGTATCGGATACAGATACGCATTTGATACGCTCGGATATGGCCAGAAAGTATCCCAAATTTTTTTAATATATTTTTTGAATTTCGGATATGGCTCGGATATGTGGGGGATACGTTTCAGATACTGTTGGGATATGGCGGGGCAGAAAATGTAATTTTGAAAACGTTTTTGTGAGTCAAACCATAAATAGAAGAAATTAAATTAAAAAAATACAAATCAGATCCTCAAATCAGGCATATACGCACGAACCAAAATCAACAAAAAGGGAGAAGAAAATCCGAAGCTCAAATCGACAAATCGAAGCAAAAATCTGGTTCCTTCTTCTTGATTGACCACAGTAGGTTCTCTCTCTCTTTCTCGAAGACAAATCGAAGCAAAAAGCTATATACAACAACAGGTTCTCTCTCATTCTCACTCTCACTCTCACTCTCGTTTCTCTTTCTCTATCTCTCTCACTCTCTCTGTCTCTTGTCTTGCTCTTGTCGTTCTGTCTCTCACTCCTCTCTAGCTCTTTCTCTCTTTCTTACGTTTTTTTTCTCTCTGCTCTCGTTCTTTTTTTCCCCCTCATCTATTTGGTTGCTTTATTTGATTTTTTTTTCCACTTTTTTTTTTTTTTTTTTGGTTTCCCCGCACTATTTTAATGTAAGTATTTCTTTACCAAATTTTTAATTTTAGGAACTTTAATGTTAGTATTTCTTTATTTAATAGGAATTCCTCTCTTTATTTATAAATTTGTTTTAAGTTTTATTTTCATGCATATTACATTATTAAAATTATAAAAAATAATTTTTTTTTACGAACGTATTCTCGCCGTATCCGTATCTTACTTTTTCAGATTTTGGCATATCTTCGTATCACCGTATCTCATATCCATATTCGTACTTCCCTGGTCCTCGTCTTTCCCTCTGAAGAAAATTTCTTTGATCTACTGGAATGTGCTGGTCTTCAATTGTGATTATTTACATTTTACATCAACACACAGAGAATATGGAATTTTCTTGGTGATTACACACTTCTTCACTGTTTTGACTGGGACTGTGTAGCCTTTCATTAATTGTGATTCTTTTAGACTCAACTCCCTCTTTCTAAAAGTTATTGAAATGATGAGTAAAAGGGTGCCATCCATGTATACATGCTGTAATCCGAACTAAGAAAAACAAAACTAAAACCTTTGAAAAATTAAAACAAGACCCCATGTCTTGAAGCATGACCTTGCCATGTCCCTGTAGTTTAAGAGAAGAGAAAGAGTTAGGAAATGAGTTAGACTTCATTCCCTTTTATATTGATAATTGAGCAATTACAGGCCTAGTCTGAGTAATCGAAAAAGAAATGAATAAAAATACAACCAATTATTTCCTATTCTAACAATTTCCTATTTTAACATTCCCCCTCAAGCTAGTGCGAAGACATCTCTCATATCCAGCTTGTTGAGAATGCGATGTAAGGATTTGTTCCCTAGTCCCTTGGTGAGAACATCAGCTAGTTGGTCCCCAATCTTCACAAATGAAATACATATGGTGCCCCTCGTGAGTTTTTCCTTGATGAAGTGCCTATCAATCTCCACATGTTTAGTTCTATCATGCTGAATTGGATTATGAGCTATGTTGATTGCGGCCTTGTTGTCACAGAATAGTCGCATGGAGTCAATCTAATGGATTCCCAAGTCTCCTAACAATAGTTTAATCCATAGTAACTCACACCTTGAGCCATAACCCTGAATTCTGCTTCAGCACTAGATCTAGCCACCACATTTTGTTTCTTACTTTGCCATGCAACTAGGTTGCCACCCACAAATGTGCAGTATTCGGAAGTTGATCGTCTGTCAGTGACTGATCCAGCCCAATCTGCATCAGTAAATGCCTCCATACTAAGATGGCCATGTTTTGAGAAATTGAGACCCTTTGTAGGAGAAGACTTCAGGTATCTCAGGATTTTCATAACAGCCTCCAAGTGAGAAGTTCTAGGAGCATTCATAAACTGGCTCACTATGCTCACAGCAATGGCAATGTCTGGACGTGAGTGGGATAAGTATAGGAGCTTGCTCACTAGTCTCTAGTATCTCCCCCTGTCCACTGGATTTCCCTCTTGATCCTCACTCAGTTCTGGTCCGGTTCTAGAGGTGTATCACATGGTCTACCTTCAAGCATTTTAGTTTCCTTTAGCAAGTCAAGCACATACTTCCTCTGACATATGAAAATGCCATCCTTGGACCGAGCTACTTCAATGCCCAAAAAGTACTTCAAATAGCCTAAATCTTTGATTTCAAACTCTTTGGCTAAGTATTCTTTCAAACGAGGAATCTCCTCAACATCATCTCCTGTCAGAACAATATCATCAACATAGACAATAAGAGCTGTGGTCTTACCATGTGAGGAGTGTTTTACAAACAATGTGCGATCAACTTGACTTTGCTTGAACTCATATTTCAGTATAGCTTGAGTAAACCTTTCAAACCAAGCCCTAGAAGACTGCTTTAGCCCACAAAATGACTTTCGGAGGCTGTATATTTTACCGTTGGACTTAGCATCTGCAAAGCCAGAAGGAATATCTATATAGATTTCTTTTGCTAGATCTCCATAAACAGAGGCATTCTTCACATCAAATTGATGAAGGGGCTAATCCAAATTTGCAGCAAGAGAGAGTAAAATTCTCACAAAATTCATCTTAGAAACCGGTGCAAATGTCTCTTGGTAATCCACCTCATAAGTTTGAATAAAGCCCTTAGCAACCAGTCTTACTTTGTATTGTTCTATGGAACCATCTGCTTTATGTTTTACCGTGTACACCCACTTACACCCAACTGGATTTTTGCCGCTAGGTAACTCCACTAACTCCCAAGTGCCACTCTTGCTGAGAGCTTTCATCTCTTCCATCATGGCATGTTTCCATTTAGGAATAGAAAGAGCATCCTGAAAATTGGTAGGTAGACTCACAGAAGACACTTAAGACAACATAGCTTTATATGAGGAAGACAGATGAGAATAAGAGATATGATTACTAATAGGATGCTGAGTTTATGACCTAACCCCCTTTCTATTAGCAATTGGAACATCAATATCTAAAAAAGCAAGAATAGAAGTACTAGAATCAGAATTATCTGGACTCTCAGTAGAGATGGGTGACTCTGGACTAATGTTTTAAAAACCGGACCGGTGAGCGAACTGAAAAAGGGATTGGGTGGACGGGTCACCGGTTTAACCGTCGGGTTGAATCGGAATTGAACTGTGACGTAATAAATATATTAAAATTATATTTAATTAAAAATATAAGTAATAAAATTATAAATTAAAAATATTAAAAATATTAAATTATCTTAAATATTTGTCTTAATATTTTTTTTACTGAAAAATATAATAATATTTAAAAATATTATTAATTTCAATTTTGGAAGATGAAATCAAATATTTAATATTCCCTCCATATGATTTTAATTCAAATAATTTGATTGAAAGGAAAGCAAAAATTTTGGAGGGATATCAAAATTTTAATATTCCCTCCAATACATTTGATTGAATCCCACATGGATTTCTTGAGTCTTTTTGAATTTTTTTTTTTCTTATAAATAGGTGAAGACTTTCACAATAATTTCATCAAACTCTTAATGGGATTCCTCACAAGAGGAGACCCTTGAAAAAGAGTTTGAAATTAAAATTTTCTTATATTCTTATATTTTATATATATATATATATATATAAAAAAATAAATAAAAAAAAGAATTTCCGATCCAGATCAACCCGGCGAACCGGCTCCGGGTCGACCGGTTCGCCGGTCCAACTGCCGGTTTTTTCGGTTCTCCTTAAAAACGCCGGTTTTCATTTCTGGCCAGTTTAGAGGGTCCATTCGGACCGGAACCCCGACCGGTCGACGATTCAACTGGTCGAACCGGCCGGTCCGATTTTCAAAACCTTGCTCTGGACACTCATCCGGAGAAGAAGTTGGCAGTAGAGGAAGAAAAGTAGTCTCTTGTATCTAGATGATTTGCTGTCTGTCCTTGTCCCTGATATAAACTTTGTCTGCTTCCTTTTTCTCAACAACTGCTGGCTCATCATCCGCTATCTGTTTAATAGGAATAGGAATCTCGTCACACCAAGGCTCCCCTTGAAGGGATGACTGTGATACCGGGGGGTCGGAAAATAGGGTTGAGACTCAAAGAAAGTAACATCCACAGAGAAATCATTTGCGAGTGGGAGGATGATAATACCTATAACCCTTTTTGGTGGCAGAATAACCCAGAAAAACACACTTAAGAGACCTGGGATCCAATTTACCACGAGTGGGTAAATGATTTTGATAAAAGCAAATACAGCCAAAAGTCTTAGGAGGAATGGAGAACCCAGAAGGGGTAAACCTGAACAAAATTTGAAGAGGTGTTTGTTTTTGAAGAACTTGGGTAGGAAGACGATTAATCAAATAAGCGGCAGTGAGAACTGCGTCCTCCCAATAGGATTGAGAAATATGCATCTCAAAGGATAGACAACGGGGGACATCAAGGAGATAGCGATTTTTTCGTTCTGCAACACCATTTTGTTGAGGGGTATTAGTGCATGAAGTCTGGCAAATAATGCCATGAGTGGCAAAGTAAGTTGCAAGGCCAGAGTCAATATATTTCCCCCCATTAGCAGAATGTAGAATTTTGACAACCACCCCAAACTAAGTACAAACCATTTTATGAAAGTTTTGAAACATATAAAAGACTTCACTTTTATATTTCATTAAATAGACCCAAGTGGCCCTAGAATAATCATCGATGAAGGTAACAAACCATTTTTTACCGGTCAAAGACACAAAACAAGATGAACCCCATACATCAGAATGAATTGAAGAAAATGGAACTAAACTTTTATTAAGAGAAGGAGCAAAAGAGGCTCTGTGTTGTTTTCCAAGTTGACAAGACTCACATTGAAAATTTGACACATTATTTTTCTCAAAAACAGAAGGAAATAAATGCTAAAGTAATAAAAATGAGGGATGTCCTAAGTGACGATGCCACAGCCAAATGTCTCCCCTGGTGGATGGTAACTGAATAGATAAGTGAGCTAGCTTGTTGATCTGACCCAGAATGTAGAGACCATGTTCCTCGCTACCACTGCCAATCCTCTTCCTCATAATGAGGTCTTGAAAAAGACAATGATCAGGAAAAAATGTCATGCTACAATTTAAGTCTGGATAATACGACTCAAAGACAAAAGATTAACACCAAAATTTGGAACATAGAGTACAAAGGACAAAGGGAGGGAGGACGTAGCATGAATTAAACCTTTCCCGGACACGGAGGACATAGTACCATCAGCAATACGCACTTTTTCCTGACTTGATGAGGGGTTATACTCTGAAAATAAATTAGAGGAGTTAGACATATGATCGGAAGCACCTGAATCAATAATCTATGGTACAGTCGTATGAGAGAGCAATGCACAGGGGGAGGAAGCCAAGTTACCTGAATGGGCAAAAGAAGAAGAGGGAGCACCTGTAGCAGAAGTGGAGGCTCAATGGTCCAGCAAGTGGCGAAGAGCAATCTCAAAATCCGAGGTAGATAATCCCGAAACATCAACAGCAGGGGAGACAACTGGAGAAGAAGATGATAGCTCAACAGTGTCTAAATAAAGTGCCCGAGCATTGGCTCCTCGGCCTCTAGACTGACCAGACCTACCCCTTCGAGTACTAGGACGGTCTTCTTGGCCGCCAGAAGGAGGAGTCCCATGTAGCTTCCAACAGGTCTCTTGTGTGTGGCGAGGTCGACGGCAGTAGTCACAGAAAAGACTATCCTTCTCAGAGGAAGAACGAGAACCACGAGTCACATGGTCTCCATCGCGAGGGGGGTGCAGAAACTAAGGCCGAGCGATCAGGAATAGTAGAAAGAAGTATTGCAGAGCGGCGACTCTCCTCATTTTGCACAAAAGCAAAGGCTTCTTAGAGAGAAGAAAGCACATCCATGCCAAGTATTCTGCTTCGAACCGGATCATACTCTCTTGCGCCACAAATGTCCGGTAACCAACAGAATTAGTGGGACAGATAGACTTGTAATCCTGAAGGTGATCAAGTCGCTTTCACCTATTGCTAAGGAAGGTAAAATATTGGAGGATCGTCATCTCACCTTGTACCGACGTAACTCGAAAGCCTGTGAGAAGTTTCCCTTCTGAGAGTAAGTGGTAGTCACGGTCTCCCAAATATCCTGTACAGTGTCCATAGAGAGATAGCCCTCTCCAATCTCCGGGACCATAGAATGTATCAACCAACCCATAATAAGGAAGTTAGTGATCTCTCACTGATCATAACTCGGGTCTATGGTGAGGGGTGCCTAGATTTTGCCATCAACATATCCCATCTTCCCTCTGCTCTTCAAGAAAATAGTCTGATTCTGCTACCACGCTAGATAGTTCTGACCGTTGAATAGAGAAGTGGTGATTTTAAGGCTAGGGTTGAGATTATCAGACATAGTAGAAGGGATAAGGGAACTCTCGCTCTTAGGTGGCTGAGAGATTGCGGATTCACTAGTGAAATCTGCAATGAATATGCTACTCAGTAACCTTCAAACCCAGGGCCAATCACAAACTCAAAAGATGATGGAGAAATAGAAAACAATATGACCATAAAGAGATCAGCAAAAGAATATATATTATTTTTTTTTAATGTATCATCATTTTTTTTTCCTTTTTTGTTTTATTTTTTATTTTTTTATTTTTTTAAACAAAGTCTAGGGTGAAACCATTACAGGAGATAGTCACGAGGAGAGAAACAATGATACCGAGAAGCCGATAGAGGCCAAGAGGGCCAGTGGAGCTGCCAACAGGCCCCTAGGAAGCCAGAGGGGCTATCGCCTAAGCCGAATAGGCTGTCGGGGAGCCCAAGTGAACTGCTGAAGGCCTGGGCAAGGCTGTCGGAGGCTGGTTTGGGCTGGGTGAGGGTCGACGGTGGCTGTCAGAGACTGGGTGAAGGTCGACGGTGGCTGTCGAAGGATCTACAGTTGTTGTCGAGACTCCTGGACTCAAGAGAGGATTGCCGACAAAGGAGAAGAAAGGTAAGGAGGGATGGGCTAGGGTTTTGGTTTTGATTCCATGTAGTTTTAGAGAAGAAAAAGAGTTAGGGAATGAGTTAGACTTTATTCCCTTTTATATTGATAATTGAGCAATTACAGGCATAGTCTGAGTAATCAAAAAAAGAATGAATAAGAATACAACCAATTCTATTCTAACAATTTCTTATTCTAACAGTCTCCACTGTGTCTCTTAAAAAAAAATTACTAAGAAACGGACACACCAAACCCCAAAAAAAATTATTAAAAAATATACACTCCATGTGGCATGTCCATATGTATCCCTACTGTGTTCGTGTCTCATATGTGTCCAACAGTGCTATAACACTTATTTTGAAGTGTTGGTGCTTCATAGCTTAACGGTTTACAAGTTTTAGGCCTTAAGATATCCTGAATTAGTAAACCTAAAGGAGTGATCAATGGATGTAAATTCACTTTTTTTTTAATTTTTAATTTTAATCTTTGCCTCCAGGTTATTTTCTTCATACTTGTGCTTAGGCCCATATGTGTTTCATTTCATGTGCCCAAGCAATAGACATGGATGCCCCCAAGTGTCTGTCCATAGTATGTCTAGTTCTGACAAATTAAAAAGTTTTAGGACACGTTTGGACATATATCTGAAATGTGTTAAGGTGTGTATGATGAGTGTTGGTGTCATGGTACCTTCATAAAAGTGTGCTGCTTAGACCACCAATTTTTCTCAAACGGCAATCTTTTTGTTAATGAAAACATTGGACCAAATCTTTCATTACTTATTATATTGTAATATATGGTGTTGCATGGTAGGCATTAATGAAATGGGTGATTCTATTACACACCATAAATCCTTTCAGTACACACCACTTGCTCAGTTCACACTACACACAAATTAAAGTTTTTAATTTTGTCTCAATACACAACACTAATTTTCAAATAATACCAAATTACCCTCATCTTCTCCAACTAATCCTAATCCTAATGCTAACCCTAACCCTAACCCTAACCCAAACCCTTGCCCATCGCTGGCCATCAGCCGCCGACCTCCACTCCTTCCCCTCCTCTCTCCGGCCCATCCTCTATCTTCCTCTTCTTCTTCTTCATTGTCTAGATCTGGAAACCCTAAGCCTCTCTCTCTCTGTGGTGGAGGAGGCTAGGATGCAGGAGGCCTAAGTCACGATGGAGAGGTAGGGGAGAGGGATCGTGATGGCGGGGTAGGGGTGGAGTTGTTCACGGTGGCAAACGGGGAAGCGGAGTTGTTCGTGATGGAGAGATAAAGGCGTACGACGGCGGAGGGGTGGACAATGGAGCTGGAGGAGGTGCGGCGTGGTTGGGAAGAGGGGTTGGTGGTGGCTGTGATGGCGAGGGTTGGCGACGGTGGCGACAATGGTGTGGTGATGTTGGGGTTAGGACGACGGCGTCTAGGAAGCTGTTGGAGGGCGGAAAGTAGAGAGGAAGGCTGTGGAGAGGAGGCAATTGGAGTCCAGGGGCTGTGGTAGTGATTGCGGCAGCCGGCGGTGGCTGTCAATAGGTTAGGTTAGGGTTTGTGGATGAAGGGGATGGAATAGAGATGAGGGCAATTTGGATATTTGATTGAAGGATAAAATTGTAATTAAAAAATTATGAATAGTGGTGTGAACTAAGAGTAACTGAGGTGTGTAAAAAGAATTACCCTAATGAAATATCTAGTGAAAGAAGAGATGTTCTTCCGTGTAAATGATGTTTATTCTTTTGAGGATTTTGTTAATGAGTGCCCTAAGGCCCTCCCTTGTTAACAAGTTCAAAATGGTTGTACATTCTTAGGGCAATTATTAACGAGACCCTTCATTTAATAAAGTTTGCTGAGTTTCTTTCGGCCGAAATTAGCATTATTCTTTAAAAAAAAAATAAAGTAGTTGCTGATTTGTTGTCTGTAATAGGTATTTAGAAGTATGGACTGACAGTTTAGCAAATATAGTTTCAGATGGTTTGAGCATGCTGCAGAATCATTTGTTAAAGTACCCTTCCTTGGAGCTGTCTCATATCTGACGTTAGCTGTCTCTCCATTCTGCATAGCATTTGCTGTTGTTTGGGCAGTTCTTCGCCGTGACTCCTGTGCTTGGATAGGACAAGATATCCTTGTAAGAATGAATTTCGATTGTTCTCGTTTAATATTTGATTCTATGTCTGCATACTTGTGTGATCTTGACGCAATAAAAGGAAACACCGACAGCCTAAAATTCAGTAATTCTGCAAGAGGAAATATGTTTGCAGAGACAGATTCAAAAGTTGACTTTCAAAGCACTATGCATTACTTGAACACGAATTAATCATTTCTGGCATTCTAAGAGCTTGTTTTGCTACTTTCATTATTGCCTTGTGTGCATTATGCTACACTTCCTGTGAGATGCTTTGCATTTGTTCTGTTAATCTATGTAGTGATACAAATTCTTAAAAATAAATAAATAAATAAATTATGGTGACTATGGTCAATGATGCCAGCAAAAATGACACAGTAGATTTGTCAAAGACTTATGTGATGGACTTGCTACTTGTGGTGCTACTTTAGCCTCCCATATTTTCACAGAAGCATACTTCTCTGTCATGATATACATCCCGCAGTTGCGTAATTGGATTCATATTCAAGTATATTAGCTTGCCACTTATAAATTGATGATGAGCCCCGATAATAATAATTTTACTTTTTCCTTTCCAAACAGGGTATTGCTTTGATAATCACAGTTCTCCAGATTATACGTGTTCCTAACCTGAAGGTGATTTTACAAACTTACAACAACTTATTCTACTCTTCCTTGGATGTTTTCTCGGATTGCTTTGAAAATTCCTGGTAGTTTTCTTTTTGGCAATTTTGTGGCTACGAATTTTATTCTTAAGAATGTCGAAATGCAATAATCAAAGTTTGAAGAAATTTGCCAAGATGTAGATCCAACACTGCTAATAAACAATCTATTTTCTCTTTAGACGAATCACTTTTGAATATTGCCTTTGAATGCATGATGGCTATAAATCCAATATAATCATGTCATTTTTGAACCTGTCCTTCCTAGTCTTCATCTTGTCCAAATCTTGGGAGGTCTTCAGTGTTGTTAGTCATTGCATAATCACGTAGAATTGAATTAATAGATAAAAATTCCTAGCATCCAGATCATGTAGATTCTAGATAATGAAAGATTTTACTCAAACTGTTATTTTTCTAGCTAATAAACAATCTATTATCTCTTTAGACGAATCACTTGTGAATATTGCCTTTGAATGCATGATGGCTATAAATCCAAGATAATCATGTCATTTTTGAACCTGTCCTTCCTAGTCTTCATCTTGCCCAAATCTTGGGAGGTCTTCAGTGTTGTTAGTCATTGCATAATCACGTAGAATTGAATTAGTAGATAAAAATTCCTAGCATCCAGATCATGTAGATTCTAGGTAATCTAGAACATAATTAAGAAGTTACTGGATCTTGAAAACAAAACGAAGGAAGATGAAAAAGGCATCTGTAATGCTATAGTATAATGTACTCAGGAATATTCCACAGAATTATTACCATAGCAAGTTCTGACTTATCAGAATCTGAGTACTTACAAAGAACCACAAATTTTGTCAGAAGATACAAAACATGAAAATTTTGCAGCAATAAACTTTTAGCACTTGGACTCTAAATAAAATGATCCTCAAAACTTAGAAAGGCAGTATTATGAAATAATAATGACACCATTATTCCTTGTGCACTAGGGGCATCTCCAACAGTTCACCAAATATTTCATCAAATCTGCGTAAAAAATTGACGAATTTCTCTATTTGATATCGCCTGCTCCAACAGAGTGATTTGGCTTTTTATCAAACCCGGTCAACCGGGCAAATGACCAGCCGGTTAACCAGGCAATGCAAAAAATAAAAAAGCAACAATTGAATTGTTTGTCATAATAACTATTAAAGAAGAGAAGCATTGTTTGGTTGGGAACTTAGGATACAGAAGAAGAAGAACAATAAGAACAAGCTGAGAGAGAAGGTCTGGGTCACCACCACCGACACTGAAGTTCCTCCTCTCCTGGAGGGTGGGTGGACACTTCCATTCCATCATCATTACTTACTGTGAGATTTAGGCGATATAACTAAAGGAAGATTTCTTTTCTTTTTCTTCCCAAATGAAAGCACCTCTTCCATTCCATCAGCATCTCTCTCTCTCTCTCTCTCTCTCTTTCAAACAAAAGATGATAGAAATATTCAATTTTAGGAATGGTCTCAGGTTCTAAATATGGGTTTGTTCGCAGAAGATCTAGAGATAATTCTAGTTTATTCTTCAGCGTTGAGATTGAGAAAACTCTAGTGTCAAAAATGGAAAAGAAACAGAAATTTCATTTGTTCATTTCCATTTTTGAAATAAATTCAAATCTCAATCTCCTATCTTCAGTAAGTATTATTTTCTCGGCTGCCAAACAAAGGAGGAGGAGAAGAAGATTGGGGGAAAAGGATCTCAGATTCTCAATCAGGGGAGGAAAGTGAGAAATTTACAATTCCCAATAACATAGATAGAAATCCAAAAAAATTAAACCAACAACGAACCCAAAAACATTACAAAATGAAGATCAAATTTTGAAACAGATATACTGAAACAGAAAAACAAGATGCAAAATCAACGACATATGTGACACCATGGACCATTCTCGCATTACCTGAAAGCTTCAACTTGCTTGAAGAAAAAGATAATCTCTATTTGATAGCAGATTTAAAAAGTGAATTCAGAGGAAGCTTTGATTTTTTGGGCCTTGAGATTATGAATATTCAAATTGATAAGTTGATTTCTAAGAAATCGAGAACATTTGAATCGTCCGGATTCATATTCGATTCCGATCTTGCAAACCCAGAAACTGATCTCCTAGTTCAGATTTCCAAACCATGGCTGCTTCTCTTCATTTTCTCTACAATCCGGACGATCGCGGGGACAACCAGTCGGACGTCCGGTGGGCCCCACTACCAACGTACACACACAGTAAAATGGTGAAATTGGCCCCAGCTCCTCAGTTTGGTGAAAATTTTGGGGTGTTCTCAATTTTATATCATTTTGATAAAATCGTTGGTGACAAAAAATGTGTCCTTTTTCACCAAATTCAAATTTGGTGATGATTCTGGTGAACCGTTGGACATGGCCTAAGTTAATATATAGAAAGAAAAGATAACTTTTAAGTTACATATTTTGTTTTCAAGATTGATGTGTTATTAAGTCCATTTTTGAGTGAACAGAATTTCTCTTTATTATTTCTGTTATTATTAGCGTGTAACTTGTGTTCTTAGAAATGAAATCGTTAGTACCTTTTACGAGTGATACAAGATATCTTACACCATATTGGTGCAATTGCCATATGGGTTTTAAGGTTTCAAAATGTTAATTACATTTATACCTGCACTGCTTATAATTGATTTTTGCTTTTCTTTTCATTCATACAAATGGAAATATATATTCTTTGAGAATTCAAGTAATTGATCTTGATGCTCAGTTAATTTCTTGGTGCATGGTACTTTAAAAAATATCAAGTGAATAAAATGCTCAGTAGAAGAATAGCATATGAAAAGTATATCTTGAGTGAGGGAGTCCATCTGGTTGTTGTAGGTGGCTTGACGCCTATGCAATCGAAGTAGTTCCCATGTCAAATGGACTTTCTACCTCAATTCATCTGGATTCTTTGCATCTTAGAAAATTCTCTAGGATTACCTGTTGGTTTCCATGGCTTAACGTAGCATAGTTGACCATATAGGTTTCTCATGTGCATGTCAAGTCTGGTGTCTCAGGGATTGGACTTCAAATCTTTGGAAGGTTGACTTCAGGCTGAGAGCTGGAGATAGATAGACATAATTCAATCCATGAAGCCAACCCCAATAGTTGTGATGAATGATTGTTGCACTTAGTTCTAGTTCTGTTAATTGAATTTATGAAGTAGTAATATTTGGTGGCTTTAGTACAATTTAGCAGAAATAATCCAACTTAAAAAAAAGTAGCATTTGGTGCAGTTATAATTTATGATAATGAACACTTATTTTTGGTAAATTCATTCACATTTTTGTGATTATTAAATTTAAATTGTGGTGTTAATGTGTTTCTTCATAAAAATTACAGCGAAATATCCTGAATGTTTATTACTTCGTATGTATAGTAAATGTCAAGATAAGGTACTGTGCAGTTATAGTGGGATAATATTGATTTCAACTTCAAGATAGGAGAAAAGGCTGCATATACTTATCTAATAATGAATACATGTTACATCAATACATTACTTGAGTAATTTGCATTGATTTATGCTTAACAAACCTGAAATTAAATTACAAGGATGTAAAATTGGGAATTTATTCTTTAAGCCTGGGACCAGTTTTAAGTCTTCATGTAATGACAATAAAATTCCATTTACCAAGTTTTGGTCCTTTTAATTTGGGATGCGGGGTTGACATGGACATAGCCTCCAGCTGTATCTGCTTGGTGGCTGCTCTAACTCATACCTGTGTTCCTTACACCTGACAGGTCACATGGGATGGGAGAACCAATTTCCTCATTTTATAGCTCATTATATCCAGCATGTCACAAGGGAGAACCAGAGTTCGCTTGTTTAGATCTTTAATATAATCACAATTAAAGGGTCATTGCCTAATTTTTGGCCTGCTTTATGATTGGCCTGTTGTGGACCTAACCTCCTGCATTCTTTGCATGGTGGCTGCTCCTAACACCTGTCTTCTCACAGTTGAAAGGTCAATCTTTTTATCATTTTACCAAGCTCTGAATTGACCAACTTGACCTCGGTAATATTCAGCCTGATTGTTCGTTAAAATCCGTTGTTCATTGTTCCTAAATATTAGTAGGTCTTGGAGAAATGATTTGTTCTCCTTGCCTGCTGTTAGAAAAGTGTAAGATTTGGTGTTAGCCTGCTAACCTGGCTGCCAATCCATCAAAGGTAGACAGCTTTTATCTTGTTTTTTGTCTGTAATACATTGGGTTTAAAAAAAATGGCTGAATCAATCATAACGTGTTTTTGTCAGACCAGAAAGATCTGATGGAATTTTTTCTGTTTTAGTTAGTTATATATTCAACAAGAGTCCTTGTGAAATCAGTTCATTTTAAGGGAGATGCATTTTGTGTTGTACTGCATTTGAATGCTTGTTCTGTAAGTTGATGTTTTGGTCCAGAAAAATGGCAATGATTGAAACAAGTATTTTTCATTCATTTTCCTTCATGCTAAGAGCATTATGCTTCTTAATTAATGTAATTAAGATGGTCTCATTCTTCTTGACGCAATCAGGTCGGAACAGTTCTTCTCAGTTGTGCTTTCTTGTATGACATCTTTTGGGTGTTTGTTTCTAAATGGTGGTTCCATGAGAGTGTGATGATTGTGGTAAGTATTGCTTCAAATCCTTTTGACATAACAGTTCACTAATAAAGGTGTTGTTTGGTTCCCATATTGTATCTATGTACATGTCAAGTTGGCTTTTGTTTTTCGTACAGGTTGCTCGTGGTGATAAGAGTGGAGAAGATGGCATACCAATGCTGCTAAAGATCCCACGGATGTTTGATCCGTGGGGTGGCTACAGCATCATTGGATTCGGTGACATTATCTTGCCAGGACTGCTTGTAGCATTTTCACTAAGGTTCATGCATCCCAATATTTCATCCATAACTTGCATGAATATTTTTCTCTCTGAGTCTGCTAAAAAAAATTCAGACTTTGATCCTATGCCATTCTTTCTCTATGATGACCTATATGTCAAGGAAGAAAATGAACTGATGCATCAAATTTAAAATTGAAATAGAAAAATATTTAAAAAATTCTTATTTATTTGAAACTTCACACCCCAAAACGATGACTTTTTATTTCATTTTTAGATTTGGATCATAATCCTGGCTTACTAGGTCCTTCCTAGCTGCCTGGCAAGTCTTTTGGAGGAAGTCTCATAGCTTTCCCCATCCTTACACATCTCAATCATGAAAGCGGACTTGTCAAAGTATCTATGAAGCATGGGGTATGGGTATAGGTACGGGTACGTTGATTCGGTAAAATCCAAAAAAGTAGGGTATAGGTACTCCTTGGTACGTTTGTAAAAAATATTTATTTTTAATTTGAAATAATGCAAAAATTGAATACATGGTTTAATTTGTTAAGACCCGACCTACAATTAACATTTAATACCAAAAGTAAAGTTACAAACTAAAATTAAATGATATTATATTAAATAACTTACAAACTATAGCTTAATTTCAAAATCATGCAAAGTATAAAACTAAAAATAAAAAAGAAGTGTAGTGAAAAGAATTTTATCTCTGTAGGCTTCTTATGGTATTGCATAGTTGGGTTGCAGGTTCGGTTGATCTTGATATGTTGACTTTTGTACATTTTGTGAAGGATTTGCTTAGATGGTGTGCTTTTGCAGTCCATTATGGGTTGCTATTTTCTTTCTATTCTTTGCGTCGTCTTGATGTTTTTTTAATAAAGTACGTTTATTTATAAAATTAAAAATAAAAAATTTGTCTCTGTAGCAGAAGAAAATATTTTTTCTACCGAGGTATAGTACGGCTTGAGTATATATTAAGTACATCTAGGTACGTCAAAAATTAAAAAGAAAATTTTTGCAATAGGTGCTTCGTGTATCCAATACATATGCAGAAGTACCATACAAAGTACTATGGGCCAGTAAATATCCAGTATGGGTACAAAATGTTTTTCAAAGTACCCATGCTTCATAGCAGAGTATTATATAGAATCATTGCGGAGAAAAGAATGACAGGATCCTGATCCAAAAAATTGACTAGGGATTTGTTGTCTTTAACATCTCTTCTCAATAGTATATTCACACTCCTACCTACCCCTCCTCTCTTCCTTTGGATACATTCTTAGAAACAATACTATTATAGTGTATGTTGGTTATTTTCTTTACATTTTAGGCAGTAATGGGGTTCTCAATCAACTCCCTTCTTTCCAAGTTATTGTTTTTCAATTTTCAGTGGAAAATATTTTATGCCTTGAACAAGATGAAAGATTGGATGCAGTATATACTGTATGGGGAAGTCATTTAGCGGTCATGAACTGATTATATATATATATTTTTATTTATGTTTCATCCGTGCAGGTATGATTGGCTGTCAAAGAAGAATCTTCGGGCTGGATATTTCTTATGGGCAATGATTGCTTATGGGTTAGGTATGAAAAAGTATATTCTCTATATGGGATGGACACAAATATCACCTTCCTAGGATGAGTGGACACTCCAAAATGAGTGTTGTGTTCATGTCCGATCTGTTTTGGACACGGACATGGACAAGGTGGCTTGTTAATTTTTATTTGTTATTTGTTTTTGTTTTTTGTTTTTTTAGTTTTTTTGCAGGACATATTGAGAACACACTGGTGTCCTGTGTCTCTCTGGACATGTCTCTGGACACCTTTGTGAACTTTTTGTTTTTAATAAAAATTTTGCAAAACTGATTTAAGGTTAAATTAATATATTATGATGACAAAGAGTTGGGAAAGTAGAAAAAATAAAAATACACGGACATATTTGATATGAGGCTTCACTTGTTTTGTGTGGATTGGATTGTTGTTTTCTGGTAATAGTAAGGTATCATTTATATTGTTTGTGGCTTTGTAGGTCTTCTCATCACATATGTGGCTCTGAACTTAATGGATGGACATGGCCAACCAGCTCTACTTTACATTGTTCCTTTCACTCTAGGTATGTCGCAAGAACCTTCACTGAGCACATTCTTACAGTTGCTCCGTTTGGTTATGTTTTCGTTTTTGTCGTTTTTGTTTTTTGTTTTTGTTTCTCGTGTTTTTAGGAACAAAACAACAAAAAAATTCAAAACACCTATCATTTTCATTTTCTTGCAAATATAAATTCAAAAAACAACTTTGTATTTCATTGAAAGTGGGTTGTTTTCTGAAAATTTCCCCATAACAATTGTTAAAACAAGTGTTTTTTAAAAAAAAAATGGATAACAAAAAGCTGAAAAACAGGAGGAAAACTCAACCAAACAGGAATCCAAACCTGTGAGTTGTGTAATTCTCCCTCTGCGTGACTCATTATTTGGCATTGATTGATGCGCAGGTACCTTTGTGACATTGGGAAGAAAGAGAGGAGATCTGAAGAATCTGTGGACAAGAGGAGAACCGCAAAGACCTTGTCCTCACATCCAACTACAATCCTCCCAATAATTAAACACTCCACCAACAACAACCACTTGTATAACACCCCATCTCTCTCTGTTTCTCTCTCTCTCAGTGGTTGAAATTATATAATGTTGTAGCTATTTTAGTTCAATACCCTTTTTCTGTTAGGGTCAGAAGAAGTGAAAGCAAAAGCAATATATTTATATACCTTCATATCTATGCAATATAGGCTTGTTTAGCAGACCTTTCCCTTCTCAATTAGTTAGGGCTGTAGCAGTCTCCTTTGAAGAAACCAACCAGAATAATGCTATATGTACCAATTAGTATACTAACTAGTGTACTAATTGATGATATGGTATAATTTAAGTTGTTTTTGGGATTTGTAATGTAATTAATGAGTGGGGTCAATAATAATGTCATAATTAGTGTTGGCATACTAGTTAGTACACCAATTGGTGCATGTAGCACTACTGAACCAACCATGTCTGGATTTTCTGTGTGCAGTATATATATACACAACAATCCATCAGCAGGGTGCTGGGATAGAGCATTGGCATAGATTTCTGTTTTGTTTTGCTCTGCTTTTACTTCCTGAGAATGTGACTTTTAGGCTCTGTTATTTCAAGTAATATTCAAAATATATGTATTATTGTGAACATTTGAAAATAAGCAACTATCTTAGCAGAATCACACACAAAACGTGTTGCCAGCTAGTCTCTGTTTAGATCTTGAATTTGTTCACTGGGAAAGAAAGTATAATATACGTACTCATTTTTATAGGCAACTAAACCCAAAGTAATGGAGATTTTTGACCAAACTCATTTTTTTCTTAATTTTCTATTCCAACCACAACAATTAAAAGCATTTAGGACCCGTTTGTTTGGAGAGTTAGAGAGAAGGTTGGAATTGATAATGAGGTGGGATCCATTAATATTGTGTTTGTTTTGAGAGATGGGGAGGGGATTGATAGTGAGTTCCGTCCGGATTAAGATGGGCCTCACTGAGGAATTCGGATGGGCTTCCAGGACTTGGTATTAGAAAAATAGTCCGACGGACTAGAAATTTTTTATTTTTATTTATTTTTTACATGTCGGGTATTTTTTTTTAACAGTAATGTTTAATTTTTTTTATATTTTTTGTTAAGTAAAAATCATTATTTTATTTGTTTTATTTTTTTCTGAAAATTTTTATTTTTTTAAATTTTTTTACATGTTGGGCATTTTTTTTTAAAACATTAATATTTAATGTTTTTGTATTTTTTTATTTGTTTTATTATTTTATATTTATTTGATATAAAAATAATTTAACAATCCCTACACTAACAACTATCAACAAAACAAATATAATTTTACTTAATCCCCTCACTATCAATCCCTTTATTATTAATCCCTTCACTATCAATTTTTTTCATTTTACCTCTAAAAATAAATAGGGCCTTAATGTCTACGGTAATGGCTCCCTTCATCCTACTATCATCTGTGCCTTCTATGCTCTATTTGTACGTTTCATCACGGTTTAACAATGATAATTTAAAATATTCATCTCATAAACCTAATCAGTACCTTGACGGTAATTGACTCCCTTCGTACTACTATTATCTACACCCTTCTATACTCTATTTATAGGCACGGGTTAACAATGATAATTTGAAACATTCATATCGAAAACTTGAGCAGTAGTGCAAAAAAATTCAATTTTATTGAACACTGTTACTGAGCACATGATTAAATTGCAATTCGTTTTTTAAAATGGACAACAATGAGATTAAATTTAAATTGCATATTTTATATAAAAAAAAATTGAAATTTGTTCATTTGTGTATTGATATTCGTTGGAGTTAATTTGTGCACAAATGGTCTCCACTGTGAAGTTTATGAAATGAATGGTTTAAATTATCATTGTAAATTCAAAGTGAAACTCACAAAATAAAATATAGAGAGTATGAAAGATAATAGTATGACTAGTAGCCATTCCTAACATGTACTTCATTTTTTCCTGATCATTCTCAATATCCAAAAACAACCTCTTGACAGTAGCTTAGATGCATCCGAAAAATAAAAACAAAATAAATAATAATTGTAACAGAAAGAGAATTAGGAAAAGCAACCCAGCATCCATCAATGAAGCCCATATAACAATGGTTGAAACCCTAGACATGTTCTTTTTATTTTCTTTTGGGTAAAATAGGAAGACCTCAAATCCGCTTCGCTAATTTTAATCGTTCAAACTTTCAACTTAGATGAACCATGTCGACAAATCTCCTTAAAGAAAAAAAAAAATCACTGAGGGGGGCTGAGAGCATCTAGAGCTTAACAAGTTGATGGTTGAGTGCACTAGAAAGAAACTAACGCAAAAACCAGACCAATCAACCAATCAAATCAGGCAAAAACCAGACTGATCAACCAATCAAATTAGTGAAAAATGCTCTCGATTTGCACTAGGGTTGGAGGCTTAAACACAAATGCTACAAAAATTTGAGTGATATGTAAACCCATATTTGCAGAATTAAAACAAAGAAAGAAATACAACTAAAATGTAGTAGCAGGAAAATGCAACTAAACAAGACTTGATGACAAATGAGCAGATTTGACTCATACAAACAAATTTCCTTTTTTTCTTTTTTTATTTTCCTTCCCTGTTAGAATACAAGAAATCATCAAACCCTACAACCAAAATTTCATTTCAATAACTAGGCACAAACATCAAAATAAAAATAAATAAATAAATAAAATGAGGCTCACTAGTTTACATGTGGGTCTACGCCACCAGCATTACCAACTCAAAGATGTCAGCACAGTGGTCAAAATCGTAACCATCCATTGGCCATTCTGAGAAAGTCCTCTCTACATTTGAAGGATTACTTTTTGCCATGGTCTACTCCTGCCCATAGGAACAAGAATCAGTTTTTATGCAGAATCTGTAGCAATACTTTCGGAAAAAAGTAAGTCTGATGAATGATAAAGAAATGCTTTAAGAGTATGCAATTTTGGGGGACTAGTTTGGTACACAAGAAACAGGAACCAGAACGTGGTATGCCACAGACTCTAAAATGTAGTATATTAGGGTAGACTTGTAAAAATTATACTATTAGAAAAGGTGCCTCCAAGAGCAATTCTCACATTTTTAGTAGTATTACAACCCTTTTTTTATTTTTTATTTTGCCCTACCAAATCCATTCTCCTAGCATTTTAGTTCATTCATACGAGATTTTTTTTCATCGGGGGGAACTTTAAGAAAATAAACCAAACCAAACCTAACCTTAAGTCCCATTAAATGGGGTCGGCTACATGAATCCTTCTTCTCCACGCAGCCCTATCAAAGGCCATTTCATTAGTCAAATTAAGTAGATTCATATCTCTATTTAAAACGCGAGTCAACGTTAATCTAGGCCTACCCCGTCCCCTAACACTTCCATCTACCGTTACAGCATCGCATCTCTTCACTTCTGCCTCTATTGGTCTCCGTTGAATATGACCAAACCATCTCAAACGATTCTCTCTCAACTTATCTTCTATCGATGTTACTCCTACCCATTCCCGAATACACTCATTCCTAATCCTGTCTTGTCTAGTCTTACTACACATCCACCTTAGCATCCTCATCTTAGCCGCACTCATCTTATCTACATGTTATTTCTTGGTTGCCCAACACTCCGTCCTATACAACATAACTGGTCTAATAGCCGTTCTATAAAACTTACCTTTTAGTCTAATAGGTATTCGTTTTTTGCACAATATCCCAGACGCACTTCTCCACTTACACCATCCTGCTTTAATCCTATGGGCCACATCTGCATCAATCTCTCCTGCTGTTGTGATAATCGACCCTAAATAACGAAAATGTTCACTCTTAGGCAATTCTTGGTTCTCAATCTTCACTTCTCCTTTGCTTTCATTGTTACTGTTACTAAATTTACACTCCATGTATTCTGTCTTAGTTCTGCTTATCCGGAATCCTTTAGATTCAAGAGCTTTTCTCCAAATCTCTAACTTTGTGTTAACTCCTTCTCTAGTCTCATCCACTAGCACAATATCGTCTGCAAAAAGCATGCACCATAGCACGTCATTCTGAATATTTATCGTCCACTTGTCCATAACTAACGCAAAAAGATAAGGATTAAAGGTAGATCCTTGGTGTAACCCTACAGTGATAGGAAATTCATTTGTTTCTCTTGCTGGCGATCTAATAGTGGTCACCACCCCTTCATACATGTCCCTAATAACGTTAATGTAACCTTTTGTCACCCCTTTCTTCTCTAACACCCACCATATTATATCCCGGGGCACTCTGTCATATGCTTTCTCAAGGTCAATAAACACCAAATGAATGTCTCTTTTCTTTTCTTTATACTTTTCTATTACTCTTATCAAAAGATAGATCGCTTCCATTGTTGACCTACCAGGCATAAACCCAAATTGATTCTCTAACACCTTTGTTATATCTCGCAATCGGCGTTCTATCAGCCTCTCCCACACTTTCATTATATGACACATTAGCTTGATTCCTCTATAGTTGTTACAATTCTGGACATCACCTTTATTCTTATAGATTGGCACTAAAATACTCTTCCTCCACTCATCTGGCATGTTCCTAGTCAACAAAATTTTGGTAAACAACTTAGTCAACCGACCAACTCCCTTTTTACCCAAACACTTCCAAGCTTCAATAGGGATATCATCGAGTCCTAAAGCCTTATTTGATTTCATCTTCTTAAGTGCAATTTCCACTTCAAAGTTCCTAATCCTACAATAGAACCTATAGTCATGGTTTATCGTATTACTGGCTATTTCTTCCCTTATTGTCGTACCTCCATGTTCTTCATTTAATAGTTTCTCAAAATAATTCTTCCATCTTTCCTTAACCTCATCATCCTTCACCAATACTTTAGAATCCTCACTCTTGATGCACTTTACTTGATTAAAATCTCTTGTTTTTCTCTTCCGTATCTTAGCAAGTTTGTATACCCTCTTCTCTCCCTCCTTACTATCTAGTCTAGTGTATAGGTCATCATATACTTTCAACTTGGCCTCTCTCACTACTTTCTTGACCTCCTTATTAGCCAATCTATAGCTCTTAAGGTTTTTCTCAGTTCTATCCTTCTGTCACTTTTTAAAGCACTCTTTTTTTGCCTTAACTACCGCTTGAACCTCTTCCCTTTACCACCAAGTTTCCCTAGAGTTGGATCCCGTTCCTTTCGACTCTCCAAGCACTTCCCTTGAGATTCTCCTCATACAATTGGCTATCGAGTTCCACATAGTGTTAGCATCACCTTCTAAGTCCCAAGTACCTTCCTTATCCATTCGATTCTTAAATATTTCTAGTTTATCCCCTTTTAAGTCCCACCATCTCGTCTTACGACGCCCACCATCCTTCTTAGCTTGGTATTGCCTTCTAAAACATAAATCTAGTACCAAAATCCTATGTTGAGACACCAGACTCTCTCTAGGAATCACCTTACAATCATTACATTTTAGGCGGTCCACTTTTCTCACTAAGAAGTAATCTATTTAACTCTTAACTAATCCACTCTTAAAGGTTATCAAATGCTCCTCCCTCTTCTTATACATAGTATTGGCCACCACCAGGTCAGAAGTCAACGCAAAATCTAAGATACTCTCTCCAGCCTCATTTCTGTCACCAAAACCATATCCACCATGCACCCTTTCATAACCTAGTTTATCTATGCCCACATGGCCATTAAAATCTCCACCTATAACCAGGTTCTCTCCTACGGGTATCTCCTGTAAGATCTCATCCATTTGCTCCCAAAAATCCCTCTTAGTCTGATCATCTAACCCTACTTGAGGAGCGTATGCGCTAATAATGTTCACTATATTCCCTCCAATAACTAGTTTAACTAGCATAATCCTATCTCCTTTTCTAGTGACCGCCACTACACTTTCCACAAGATCCCTGACAATTATGATTCCTGCCCCATTCCTGCGTCTATCCTTACCACTATAATATAGTTTAAAACCGTTATCCTCTATTTCCCTAGCTTTCTCTCCCGTTTACTTAGTTTCTTGTATGCAAGCTTTACTAACTCTCCTCCTAATTATAACATCTACTAATTCCATCGTCTTACCAGTTAAGGTTCCTATGTTCCAAGTGGCTACCCTAAACCTATAGTCTTGGACTAGCTTCTTTACCCGCGCTCCTTCAGAAAAGCGCAGAAACCTTTGCCCATTTTTCACCGCATCCAGGCGTCGATGCAACGCCTCTTGCTCACTTTTCGAAACACCCGGAGACAGGCGCAACGTGTCACTTGAGGGGAACGACCTAGCATTTAAATGATTCAAAACAGGATTCATTTTCATAAGGGATCCGAGCGACTTTTTTACGTGTTGGTTGTCGGCTACCTAACACACAACCCTCCTCCTTAACCCAGGCTTGGGACCGGCGGAGTTGTTAACAACCCCGGCGGAGTTGGGAACTTCAAGAAAATAAAGAGGAATATTTTGGAATTGTTTTGAATTGCTAAATTCATCATTTTGAAACGAAGGTATACCATGTTTCGAAACATATCTAGGGTACTAGTGTTTTCTGATAACAGTGTTAGGAGACCATATACTAAGGTTTTTCCCCACAAACTGGACATCTTGCAATTAATTTCCTTTTTCTCATTTAAGTATACGAAGATGGCATCTGTATCAACACACCTATTGGGATTAAGCGAGCCCTGCATAGGAATGTAGGTTGGATAGGATTTTGTGGACAGAATTAGACATTCTGAGGGAAAGGATAACTTTGCAAGTACCCACTGGCAAGCAGCCAACTAGGGTGAAGTTTCAAATCCCGAGCAGAAATTAAATTATCACCAATAAAACATTATAAACAACCTATGGTTGACCTCAGTAGAAAAACTCAAAGAAAGAATTCATACTCATGCTTATACAATCATGTGGAGAAAAAAACATACATATACTAGTTGACTCATTTAAGAAAATAGGAGAGAAGGTGGTAAAAAAGGAAAGCAAGCAGTTCTTTAAGGACAGCTCATTTGAATTTATTGGGGAAGAGTAAACATACTTTCATATATCTTCAAGGAACCATTGCCATTAATAGATATTGGTACAGGTCTCCTTTCTTGGCCTAATGACAAAATCTCTTGCATTCTTTCAGGCCAGTCTGAATTCAGTCTTCGGGCAAAATCCTCCACCTCCCTGAGTAGTTTATATAAAAAAAAAAAGAAAAGGAAAGAGAATGTCATGCAAACAGTAAAAGAATACAATAATTAGAATGGAAATGTTATATTGCCATTTTTTTTCCCCCTCACGTTCAAACATCTAGGTTGCCAATTCCATGTTTTTGGATTAAGGTTTCTTGGATCAAGCCATATAAAGGGGAGCTTCTATTTCCACACAACTTGCGAAAATTAACTTTCAAACCAAAGATATAGTTGAATCATAGAGTTCTATTTAGAAGTTGATTTTCAAACCATGTATTTTTGTTTGGTAGATGATATCTAAACCAAAAAAGTTAGTAAACAGAAATAATGTGATGTGTGGAAATTCAAGCACCCATAGACAAGTAGTCACGATAAACAAGCATTAGGATTTTTTTTTTTTTTGGTAAATCAGGATATTTTTAAAAAAGGAATACTAATAAAGATATGGGCTCCTCAAAGCACATGCAACTACAAAACTAAACTGAAAAAATAAAATCCAAACAAGAACCTTCCCTAGTTTCAATCAAGGATAGAAAGTTGCCTCTAAAAGGCAAAAGAACAATAATGCAAAAAGCATCTGGATCTACAAAACTGAGCAACCTTAGCCTCTAGAGTAATCATCAAATTAAAAACCCTATTTCAAGTGGTGAGAGTAGCACCACAACCATGAAGCTTGGATAACCAGCTTGGGGTATGATAGAATATCACCCCCTATTTATAAATGAAGATTAGGGTTTACAAGAAAGACAATTACAAGTTGATCCCTGAGGGCACACAATGATTACAGACCCTAGTGTATCTTTCGGCTAATATAATATGCCAACACTTTCGGCTAATATAATATGTTAACACTCCCCCTCAAGCTGGTGCGAAGATATCTCTCATGCCCAGCTTGCCTAATATGTCATGAAATGGTTTATTCCCAATCCCCTTGGTGAGAATGTCAGCAAGTTGTTCACCAGACTGGACAAAAGGAGTACAAATGGTACCACTAGTGAGTTTCTCCTTAATGAAGTGGCGATCAATCTCAACATGTTTTATCCTGTCATGTTGAACTGGATTGTGAGCGATGTTGATGGCGGCCTTATTGTCACAGTATAACCGCATGGAGTCAGTCTGATCAATACCTAGATCACTCAACAATAATTTGACCCATAAAAGTTCACACACACCTTGTGCCATAGCTCTAAACTCAGCTTCTGCACTTGACCTGGCAACCACATTCTGTTTCTAACTCCTCCAAGTAACTAGGTTGCCGCCAACAAATGTGCAATACCCTGAAGTTGATCTCCTATCAGTTACTGACCCAGCCCAGTCAGCATCTGTATAGGCTTCTACACGAAGATGATCATACTTTGAAAAAAAAAGACCCTTACCAGGGGCAGACTTCAAATACCTCAAGATTCTCATGACAGCCTCAAAATGAATCTGATGAGGAGCATGCATAAACTGACTAACTACACTGACAGCAACAGCAATATCAGGACGGGAGTGAGAGAGGTAAATGAGCTTTCCCACTAATCGTTGATAGCTCCCCTTATCCACAACTTCTCCTCCTTCATCATCCCCTAATTTCTGATTGGGTTCCAGGGGGTGCATTCATACGAGATTTTTTTTCATCCGGGGGAACTTTAAGAAAATAAACCAAACCAAACCAAACCAAACCTAACCTTAAGTCCCATTAAATGGGGTCGGCTACATGAATCCTTCTTCTCCACGCAGCCCTATCAAAGGCTATTTCATTAGTCAAATTAAGTAGATTCATATCTCTATTTAAAACGCGAGTCAACGTTAATCTAGGCCTACCCCGTCCCCTAACACTTCCATCTACCGTTACAGCATCGCATCTCTTCACTTCTGTCTCTATTGGTCTCCGTTGAATATGACCAAACCATCTCAAACGATTCTCTCTCAACTTATCTTCTATCGGTGCTACTCCTACCCATTCCCGAATACACTCATTCCTAATCCTGTCTTGTCTAGTCTTACTACACATCCACCTTAGCATCCTCATCTTAGCCACACTCATCTTATCTACATGTTGTTTCTTGGTTGCTCAACACTCCGTCCTATACAACATAACTGGTCTAATAGCCGTTCTATAAAACTTACCTTTTAGTCTAATAGGTATTCGTTTATTGCACAATATCCCAGACGCACTTCTCCACTTACACCATCCTGCATTAATCCTATGGGCCACATCTGCATCAATCTCTCCTGCTGTTGTGATAATCGACCCTAAATAACGAAAATGTTTACTCTTAGGCAATTCTTGGTTCTCAATCTTCACTTCTCCTTTGCTTTCATTGTTACTGTTACTAAATTTACACTCCATGTATTCTGTCTTAGTTCTGCTTATCTGGAATCCTTTAGATTCAAGAGCTTTTCTCCAAATCTCTAACTTTGTGTTAACTCCTTCTCTAGTCTCATCCACTAGCACAATATCGTCTGCAAAAAGCATACACCATGGCACGTCATCCTGAATATTTATCGTCCACTCGTCCATAACTAACGCAAAAAGATAAGGATTTAAGGTAGATCCTTGGTGTAACCCTACAGTGATAGGAAATTCATTTGTTTCTCTTGCTGGCGATCTAATAGTGGTCACCACCCCTTCATACATGTCCCTAATAATGTCAATGTAACCTTTTGTCACCCCTTTCTTCTCTAACACCCACCATATTATATCCCGGGGCACTCTGTCATATGCTTTCTCAAGGTCAATAAACACCATATGAATGTCTCTTTTCTTTTCTTTATACTTTTCTATTACTCTTATCAAAAGATAGATCGCTTCCATTGTTGACCTACCAGGCATAAACCCAAATTGATTCTCTAACACCTCTGTTATATCTCGCAATCGGCGTTCTATCACTCTCTCCCACACTTTCATTATATGACACATTAGCTTGATTCCTCTATAGTTACAATTCTGGACATCACCTTTATTCTTATAGATTGGCACTAAAATACTCTTCCTCCACTCATCTGGCATGTTCCTAGTCAACAAGATTTTGGTAAACAACTTAGTCAACCAACCAACTCCCTTTTTACCCAAACACTTCCAAGCTTCAATAGGGATATCATCGAGTCCTAAAGCCTTATTTGATTTCATCTTCTTAAGTGCAATTTCCACTTCAAAGTTCCTAATCCTACAATAGAACCTATAGTCATGGTTTATCGTATTACTGGCTATTTCTTCCCTTATTGTCGTACCTCCATGTTCCTCATTTAATAGTTTCTCAAAATAATTCTTCCATCTTTCCTTAACCTCATCATCCTTCACCAATACTTTAGAATCCTCACTCTTGATGCACTTTACTTGATTAAAATCTCTTGTTTTTCTCTTCCGTATCTTAGCAAGTTTGTATACCCTCTTCTCTCCCTCCTTACTATCTAGTCTAGTGTATAGGTCATCATATACTTTCAACTTGGCCTCTCTCACTACTTTCTTGACCTCCTTATTAGCCAATCTATAGCTCTTAAGGTTTTTCTCAGTTCTATCCTTCTGTCACTTTTTAAAGCACTCTTTTTTTGCCTTAACTACCGCTTGAACCTCTTCCCTTTACCACCAAGTTTCCCTAGAGTTGGATCCCGTTCCTTTCGACTCTCCAAGCACTTCCCTTGAGATTCTCCTCATACAATTGGCTATCGAGTTCCACATAGTGTTAGCATCACCTTCTAAGTCCCAAGTACCTTCCTTATCCATTCGATTCTTAAATATTTCTAGTTTATCCCCTTTTAGGTCCCACCATCTCGTCTTACGACGCCCACCATCCTTCTTAGCTTGGTATTGTCTTCTAAAACATAAATCTAGTACCAAAATCCTATGTTGAGACACCAGACTCTCTCCAGGAATCACCTTACAATCATTACATTTTAGGCGGTCCACTTTTCTCACTAAGAAGTAATCTATTTGACTCTTAACTAATCCACTCTTAAAGGTTATCAAATGCTCCTCCCTCTTCTTATACATAGTATTGGCCACCACCAGGTCAGAAGCCAACGCAAAATCTAAGATACTCTCTCCAGCCTCATTTCTGTCACCAAAACCATATCCACCATGCACCCTTTCATAACCTAGTTTATCTATGCCCACATGGCCATTAAAATCTCCACCTATAACCAGGTTCTCTCCTACGGGTATCTCCTGTAAGATCTCATCCATTTGCTCCCAAAAATCCCTCTTAGTCTGATCATCTAACCCTACTTGAGGAGCGTATGCGCTAATAATGTTCACTATATTCCCTCCAATAACTAGTTTAACTAGCATAATCCTATCTCCTTTTCTAGTGACCGCCACTACACTTTCCACAAGACCCCTGACAATTATGATTCCTGCCCCATTCCTGCGTCTATCCTTACCACTATAATATAGTTTAAAACCGTTATCCTCTATTTCCCTAGCTTTCTCTCCCGTTTACTTAGTTTCTTGTATGCAAGCTATACTAACTCTCCTCCTAATTATAACATCTACCAATTCCATCGTCTTACCAGTTAAGGTTCCTATGTTCCAAGTGGCTACCCTAAACCTATAGTTTTGGACTAGCTTCTTTACCCGCGCTCCTCTAGAAAAGCGCAGAAACCTTTGCCCATTTTTCACCGCACCCAGGCGTCAATGCGGCGCCCCTTGCTTACTTTTCGAAACACCCGGAGGCAAGCGCAACGCGTCACTTAAGGGGAACGACCTAGCATTTAAACGATTCAAAGTAGGATTCATTTTCATAAGGGATCCGAGCGGCTTTTTTACGTGTTGGCTGTCGGCTACCTAACACACAACCCTCCTCCTTAACCCGGGCTTGGGACCGGCGGAGTTGTTAACAACCCCGGCGGAGTTACTTTTAAGTATATCTAAAGTCTATTTAAAATATTTTAAAAAAAAAAAAACTCACCAAGACAATCAACACTCGACCCCTAACTGGATCATACTCCACATTTAGGCCGGCCAAAAATTTAAAGACCCGTTCCCGTGCGATGAACTGTTTGTACCCGACAGAATCAGTAGGGCAAACGGGTTTATAGTCTTCCAGGTGGTCAAGACGTTTCCAGCCGTTGGTGAGGAAAGTGAAGTACTGAAAAACAGTCTGCTCCCCCTGAAGTGAGCTCTCAATAGAGCGGCGCAACTCAAATGCCTGTGAAAAATTCCCTTTGCGGGAATAGGTAACAGCCACAGCCTCCCAAACGTCCTGGGCAGTCTCCATAGACAAGTAGCTCTCACCAAGTTCTGGAACCATCGAATGGATAAGCCAACTCATAATCAAAGAGTTGGTAATCTCCCATTGGTCATAACCTGAGTCAGTGGTACTAGGTGCCTGTATCCTGCCATCAACATACCCCATCTTCCCTCGGCTCTTCAAGAACATAGTCAAACTTTGAGACCATGCAAGGTAGTTCTGACCATTAAATAGAGAGGTGGTGATTTTCAGACTAGGGTTGGGGTTCTCAGTCATGGTAGTAGATAGAATGGGACTCTCACTCTTTGGCGTTTGAGAAGAAGGGGACACACTGGTGGAATCTGTCATGGATACAATACTACCGAACCCGTAACAAAACTAGTGGTAATCACAAACCCGGAAGGTGGTCGTGGGATAACAGGCACAATGATCACTATAAAGACATACAAAATTAAGAAACCATATATTTTTTTTTTTTGTTTTTTTATATATATATATATATATATATGTTGAGTTATTTATATATACATGTATTTATATATAAATATATATATCAGGCTATAGTTATATATATATCAGGATATATAAATATTTATATATACCTGGGTTTGAGATCAGAGGACGACGAGGGGAACGAGGGACGAAGACGACAGAGGGCGATGAGGATGATGAAGACGAGCGACGAACTGCGGGAGGAGATCGACGAGCTGCGGAGCTGAGACGAAGACGAAGCAGATGAAGGCGAGGGCTGAACTGCTGGAGGAGATCGACGAGCGGAGGAGCTGAGACGGAGACGAAGAAGAAGCGGAATGATGATGGTGGCAGAAGATCGATTCAGCAGATGATCCAACTAGGTATGCTTTGAACCCTAGCCCTAGAGGTGATGCTCTGATACCATGAAGCTTGGGTAACCAGCTTGGGGTATGATAGAATATCACCCCCTATTTATAAATGAAGATTAGGGTTTACAAGAAAGACAATTACAAGGTGATCCCTGAGGGCACACAATGATTACAGACCCTAGTGTATCTTTCGGCTAATATAATATGCCAACACTTTCGGCTAATATAATATGTTAACAAACCAAAGAAATAGGATAACCAAATTGAGCATCATGACAGATTACGCAAATATCATCCTGGACACAAGCTTCCCAAAGTCCTTTGATAGTAAGTTGCTAATTTAGAGAAAGCCCAAAAATATTTCCAATATGAGTTCTCTAAAAGCCTCCCACTCAAAATTAAGTAGCTTCCCAAAACAAACCCATCAAACTAGATTTAGTTCTCGCGTCGAGAACAATAATCATTCCAAGAAGTGGATCTTAACAAAAGAGTAATGCCACAATTGCCACATATTTCTTTCTACCCTCTTATCTTACCATCTGATGTATCAGTCTAATTGTCAACACTGCATTGCAGCTATACATTAGTGGTGGGACCCATTAAACCAACATTGCGTTAACAAGTACGATGGTAAGCATAATATGGTATAGAAATGTGGTAAGTGTAACGTTATTGCTAGCAAGAATGAAAAAGGAGGCAACCCAGGACAAGTCTCACACTCTAAAGCTTGATAAAAAATGAAAGATAAACAGGGGGAAGGTCCACAGAAAAATTTAAGAAATTGAACCACACAAAAAAAAATGCGTTTCACTGATTTATCCTCAAGAGTTCTAGCATCTCCCTCCAGCCAAAGGAACCAAAACAACCAAAAATGAACCTCAGAAATGATCTAGACTCACTTTCCATCATCCAAGCCATCAAAAGAAATCATAAACTAAACCAAATGTCACAAGGTGGGACACAACCAAATACAATGTTCCAAAATGCCATTATCACAAACCTTGGGAAACTGGAAAAGGAAAAGCATTGGAAAGAGATGATCATATAGTTAAGTGTCAGAAGTTTTTGCAAGAAAATTATTTTAATACATGCATAATGCTCCTATAGGTACAAAGATATGAAACCTAACACTGGCACCACATAACCACTTTGAGTCTACACATGATAGATTTCTTTTCTTTTCTTCTTTTATTCTGTTATTAGTCAGATTCCCTTCCATTGTAAGAAAGAAGCCTACAACTTTTTGTCATTTCAGTGAACAAGGCTTTTTGTTTTGAGCTTTATAGGTTATTATGGTGTAACTTTCGTATTTGGGCAGCATCCATGTTTTTTTAATACAAATAATAATAATCATAAATAAATAAATAAATAATATTTTTTTAAAGTATCGACTTACGTCCCCATGGAATCTTGCAGAAACACACCATGAGGTCACTAATGGTCACAGAAAAATTGAGAGTTGCATCTTTAGGGCTAATAATAAATTCTTCACAAAAGTAAAAGTAATAACAGTATATTTTGAAGAAAAGGTAAACATACATTCTCGTGAGATGAACCTAGGTGTGCATATGTGTTCAGATACCCAAAAAAACTCTCGTTAAGCTCACCTATCAATTCTTTCTTTCATTGCAGGATCTATCTCATCATCTATATCAGCATCATCAAACTCATCTTCAGGTGCAAAACTGTCATCTTCAACATCTTGTAACTTTAACATCTCACCAATATTAGGGAGAACATGATCACAAATCTTAGCATTATGGCATAAGGAATCAAAACCATTAGATTCCTGCAACATGTAAAACTCATTAACATGATCATTATTAAGATATCTTTGACTGAAAAGCTTCAATGGAAAACATTCATAAATTAATAACTATCCAAAAACTAACTCAGAACAACAGAAAATGACAGATTCAGAAATAACATGGTGGTTACCTTCTTATGGGTTCCAATGGTATTGTTTGAAGAAGAGGCATCATTTGAAACAGCACTGCAGTTAGAAGAAGCATTCTTTTGTTGGTCTTTTCTTCTCCGATTCTTCTTTTTATTTTTAGAAGCTTTGACCCCCTTCGAGTCTGCACATAAGAATTCCGCCAACGTCAAGGAGTCCATCAATAGGAAGTGAATGGAAAAACAAGGCCAGAGGTTAGGTTTTAGAACCTATGTTTCTCAAAAGAATCTCAGATGCTCCAAGATTCAGTCAAAAGTGAAAGCACAAAATGATTCAAATATTTCACTTGGAATGTTGAAGACTCAAAAGTTTCAAGAAATAGATTAAAAAAGGTACAATTAGGTAAAAATAAGCTTTTAAGAGAATGCAATTAGAAAAATAGAGAACACATCAAAAATCTCAAACAGATTCCAATCACTCAAACAGATAAGTTAGCTGCACCAACATGTTCACCAGTAGTTTAGATTTCTCGTGAATTACGTACATTGGGCCTCAAGGAAGCTGTCAGCTGGACATGGCGCTCTCAACTGGATCTTTTGGGGATTGCTAACAAGATTTAGAGTATCAATCAGTCAGTGCAGTCAAGACCAGGCCAAGCCTTCATTTTATTTTCCTCTCACCCAAAGCATATTTTGGTAATACCCAGAAGATATAGAAAAAATAAAGAAAGAAAGAAAGAAAGAAAAAATACTAAGGACATTTATTGCATCTATCCACAACAACTACCCCTCTTTTTTGACATGGCATCAGAGCTTGTAATTAGCAATCAATTTTCAATGTTTAAAAGAGAAGCAATTTCTGCAGCAATATCTAGTCCTATATCAAAAAGGAAGCAGAAGAGGAAGTAACAATGTAATCCAGAAAAATAGAAAATGAAGCAACCAAGAGAAATAGTCCAAGATTAAACACATATAATAATAGTACAAGTAATAATGATGGAGGCAAGTGGTAGCAGCTTCTTAAGGTGTACAAGAGACGAGGAAGAGATGCCTCTAAGGCCCAAGCTTTGGATAGTTATGTTTTAGGCTTATGAGTCATGTTCTATTATTATTTTTTTAGTTTAGGGTATTTTGGTAAGTTCATAATTTCTAGACATGGATTATACAGGTCGCCCATGGGTCATCTTGTGGGTCAAGTTATTTAATTAGATTTTATTTATGTTTCTTATTTGATCTTAAATTAATTTTAGAAGTTAAAGATATTATAATAGTTTCCTTTTTTAGTTCTAGTTGGTTTAGAAGTCTCTTAGTTCTTTTATATAAAGCCATGTAATGCTATTAATTCGATAAACTTAATATTTTAGAGAATTTTTAAAGCTTTGAAGCTTTCTTATGGATTGTGTGATGCAATTAAGTGTGATGCCTAAGGAATTCTAGGAGTGATTCCTAGACCTATCTTCTTCTCCTCCTTTCTTTCTATCTTAAATTTCAGCACTTTCACAGCCCCAGAACAGTACTTACAGAGCTGTCCTGCATCAATTTTGGTATCAGAGCCAGGTTTCAAACATGTCTAAACAATCGGGGAAACCTTTACAGGAAGATTAACTGAAAATCAGCGTGACGAGATCCTTTTTGGAGCAACTTGATAATTGAAATCTTCGTATTAGCTCTTTGGAAGGCCAAACAACTCAAGCTAATGGTGCTACAACAACCGGAGAACAAGGAGAAAACTCTGAAATTAATAATCATGGTGAGAATGGTGAGAATCAAGGTGAACAAGAAGTAGACCAGCGTGCAGATCCTGCGCAAAGACAACAATTTAGGATTGCCCATGGTCAAAGAGTGCCACAAAATTCTATGTTTGATTGGACCAGACTTGTTGGAGAGAGATCACTATGAGCCACATGACACAGCTGGAGATATCACAAAAAAGGTTAAGATGGAGGTTCCAGATTTTGAAGGCAAGGTTGATCCTACAATGCTTCTCAGATTGGCTTGCTTCCATTGAGGAGTATTTTGATTGGTATGATATGACGGACGAATGAAGAGTGAGATTTGCTAAGATGAAACTCGTATTGGCAAAAGTATGGTGGACGAGTGTTGAAGGAGTTATCAGAAGAATGGGGCAACCACCAATAGGCACATGGCAAGAGATGAAAGCCAAGCTTTGTGACAAATACATGCAGTCGAATTATCACGAAAAGTTGTGTGTGTGACCAACTTGTTCCTACCTTGCTCACACCAAAGAAAGATGGCACGCGGAGCATGTGTGCCGATAGTCGAGCTATCAACAAAATAACCATCAAATATCAGTTTCCAATTCCTCAACTTGATGATATGTTGGACATGATAGCTGGTTCTATTTTTTCAAAGATAGAATTGAAGAGTGGTTACCATCAAATACGAATAAGGCCTGGAGATGAGTGGAAGACTGCCTTCAAGACAAAGGATGGTCTCTATGAGTGGCTAGTTATGCCATTTGGTCTTTCCAATGCTCCTAGCACATTCATGCGTTTCATGACGCAGGTACTTACACCTTTTACTGGTCACTTCCTTGTATTCTATTTTGATGATATATACTAATCTATAGCAAGACCAAAGAGGAACACATCTTTCATCTCCAACAGGTTATGAGAGTTCTTCGCCAAGAGAAACTCTATGTAAATTTGAAGAAATGCTCCTTCATGAGTCCAAGCCTCATGTTTTTGGGCTTTGTTATCTCTTCCAAGGGCGTAGCGGCTGATCCAAACAAAGTCAAAACTACAATTGAGTGGCTGATTCCTACCACCTTGCAAGAAGTTCATAGTTTCCATGGATTGACAACATTCTATAGGTGCTTTATTTGAAATTTTAGCACAATAATGGCACCAATTTCTAATTGCATGAAGAAGGGATAGTTTATTTGGACCAGGAACTAAAGCATTCGAAGAGATAAAGAAAAAAATGACTGAGCTCCTGTTTTATGCCTTCCGGACTTCTCTAAGGTGTTTGAAATGACTTGTGACGCCTCAAATGTGGGAATTGAGAGTATACTTAGTCACGAAGGCCATCCAATTGCTTATTTTAGTGAGAAACTAAATGAAACATAGCAAAAGTATTCTACTTATGACAAGGAATTCTATGTTGTGATTCAAGCACTCCGTTACTGGCGTTACTATCTCATATTCAAGGAGTTTGTGTTGTATTTTGATCATGAAGCTCTCAAGTACATCAACTCCCAAAAGAAGTTGAATCATTGACATGAAGAGTAGGCCTCCTTGCAAAAATACACATTCGTCATCAAACATAAAGCTGGGACAGAAAATAAGGCAGCTGATGTGCTCAACCATGTGGTGCTAACTCTCAACTCTATGTCCATCCAAGTTGTGGGCTTTGATTCGCTCAAGAAAGACTACTCGTCTTGCAAAGATTTCAGCATAATCTACACCAATTTAGTGGCCGGGACAGCATGCTGAATATCCAGAATTCTTTTTACATGATGGGTATCTTTTTAAGGGCACTTGTCTTTGTTTGCCTAGTACATCTCTACGTGAAGGGGTGATTTGAGAATTGCATTCTAGAAGAGTAGCAGATCATTTTGGCAAAGACAAGACAATTTCCATGGTTGAAGATCATTATTATTGGCCAAGTCTTAGGCAGGATGTCGCTAAAGTTGTTTTTCGATGTTGTACCTATCAAGTTTTTAAGGACAACAGAAAAATACTGGTTTATACACTCTATCACCAATACCACATGAGCCATGGCAAGAACTAAGCATGGACTTCATCCTAGGGCTGCCACGAACTCTTAGGGGATATGATTCCATTTTGTGGTGGTGGACCGCTACTCAAAAATGGCTTACTTTGTCCCGTGTTCAAAGACTTCCGATGCTGTCCATATTGCTAAAATATTCTTTAAAGAAGTTGTCCGACTTCATGGTTTGCCAAAAACAATTGTCTCAGACCGTGATGTGAAGTTTATGAGCTATTTTTGGTGTACTTTGCGGAAGATGCTGCATACAAAACTGAAATTTTCTTCTTCTTCCCATCCCCAAACTAATGGTCAAATAGAGGTTGTTCATCGAAGTTTAGGTGACCTTCTTCGTTTCCTTGTAGGTGATCATGTTGGTAGTTGGGATCAAATTCTTTCTACGGCTGAATTTGCATATAACAATTCAGTTAATCGGACCACTGGTTGCAGCCCCTTTGAGGCTGTGATAGATTTACTTCCTCGTAAACCAGTTGATTTGGTTCCTTTACCCGTTGAGGCACGTCCTAGTATTGAAGCAAATGCTTTTGCTAATATATTCATGCGATACATGATGAGGTTCAAAGAAAGATTGTACTTAACAATGACAGTTATAAAACACATGTTGATTTGAGAAAAAATGCATACAAGAAACTCCATTCAAGAAGTTCTGGTCCATACAAAGTTCTCAAGAAAATTAGTTCTACTGCCTATGTACTTGATTTTCAACATTGGAGATCTTACATGAGGGTCACGATGATGATGATCTAACGGTGTGGCCACTTGACTTCCACCAGCCCCACGTTTGAAGGAAGACATTGAAGATATTATTGATCATCAACTTGTTTCCACTAAAGGTGGTGGCTCTCAAAAGTACCTCATTAAATTGAAGGGGCATCCACTGTCAGATTGTACATGGATCAATGATGAGAAGTTTCAGCGCCTAGACCATGACTTGTATGAACGATTCCATGCTTTTAACTCGCCAGGGTCGAGGTTTTTCAACCAGGGAGAGATGATGGAGGCAAATGGTAACAGCTTCTTAAGGTGTACAAGAGAAGAGGAAGAGATGCCTCTAAGGCCCAAGCTTTGATTTGGCATGCATTGGATGATGAGCAACTCATTTGGGACCGTGGATAGTTATGTTTTAGGCTTATGGGCCATGTTCTATTATTATTATTTTAGTTTAGGGTTATTTGGTAATTTCATAATTTCTAGACATGAGTTATATGGGTCGCCCATGGGTCGTCTTGTGAGTCAAGTTATTTAATTAGGTTTTGTTTATATTTCTTATTTGGTCTTAAATTAGTTTTACAAGTCAAAGATATTATAATAGTTTCCTTTTTTTATTCTAATTGGTTTAGGTGGAGGGTGTGAACTTGGGTCTTGGTGAGAAAGAAGAAGAACTTGGGTCTTGGTTCTGCAGTGGGTCTTGGAGTTGCAGCGGGTGTAAGAAAGA